ATAAACCTGGCCTAACCAAAGAATATTATCATACAATCAAATTAAAAGACTATTCAGGGTTTTTTGTTAAGCCATATCCAATACCACTCGCTCATCGAGGTGCTGTAGATAAGGCTATAGCTGAGATGGAAGCTTGGGGGGTGATTAAACGTTGCTCTTCACAATTCATTTCACCTTTGATGACAACTTTGAAGAAAGATGGAACGGTGAGGGTTTGTCTGGACGCTCGAAAGTTGAACTCTATCATGGAACCAGATTTTGAACATCCTCGTCCAATCGAAGAAATTCTAAAAATGTTAGCAGGGAAATCCGTGATGAGTTCGCTTGATTTCTCCCATGGCTACTGGCAATTGCCCCTGAGGGAGGAAGATCAGCAATATACAGGGTTTATGGTGGGGACCAAGACCTATAAATTCTGTCGTTTACCTTTTGGCCTGGCTAGTGCAGTTTCATCTTTCTCACGCTGTTTGAGTCTTGTTTTTGGAGAGGATTTTAACGATTTCATCATAACTTATATTGATGATATATTGGTACTCAGTTCGTCGGTGGAGGAGCACTTAGGACACTTGCAAAAAGTATTCTGTAGATTGCAGCAAGCAGGATTCACGTTGAAACTTTCAAAGTGTAGGTTTTTCAGGACTGAAATGCCGTATTTGGGCTATGTTATTAGCACCAGTGGCGTGCGCCCAGACCCTCAAAGGATTCAGGCCATAGTGGATTATGCAGCCCCAAGAAATGTGAAGCAGCTTCAGCGGTTTGTAGGGCTCTGTCAATATGACAGAATTTTTTCATACCGTTTTGCAGAGTTGTCAGCACCTCTCACTCAGTTGCTGAAGAAGAAAACTTCGTGGCAGTGGGGAAAATTGCAGGTCGCAGCTTTTGAAAATATCAAGAAACTGATGCAAGAAGAAGTGCTACTTTGCCACCCAGATCCCAAACTGACTTGGCATGTCCAGTCTGACGCCAGTGACGTAGGCATTGCAGCTATCCTTTTTCAGCTAGTAGGAGACAAAAAGCACGTGATTGCATATGCTTCTCGGCTGCTGTTGGAAAGAGAAAGGCGATACACAGCATTCGAAAAGGAGGTGTTGGCTGCGTTGTGGTCTTTTCAGCGTTGGAGGGTTTATTTGCTGGGAAATTCGGTTGTCTTGCATACTGATTGTAAGGCAATAACTTATATTCATACTTGCCGTTTGTTATCCCCCCGGGTCACCAGGTGGGCCTTGGCTCTTCAGGAGTTTTCATTCTCGGTGGAGCATATTTCTGGTCAGGAGAATGGTGCAGCAGATGCACTTTCTCGTCATGCTTGTGTCCGGTTCCCTGTACCTGATGACAAATGTTTCAGGATTTTTTCGGTGTTTGACTTGCCTGAATCATTTCAAGAACTACTGGGTGGAATAGTTCATCATCAGAACCAAGATGATAAATTTTCTAGCATAAAGAGCAAGTTGGAAACTGATGAAAAATTGCAACTTCAGTTTGCTGTCCATCAGGGTGTATTGTACAGGCGGGCCTCAGAAGAAAATACCTTCCTTCTTTGTGTCCCAAAATCCTTAGTAAATGATTTTATTAAGACATATCATAATCTCTTAGGCCATTATGGTTGTTGGAAGACTTGGGTAGCTATGAGACGAGAGCTATGGTGGACCAACATGTATCGAGAAATCAAAAAATATATACGTACTTGTGTCATTTGTCAAAAGGCTAAGATAGCAGCACTACCAAAGCCACGTCAACTGCAGATAGTCCCAGCTGATAAGGCAGACATAGTAGCGATGGACATCTATGGTCCACTGATTCGTAGTCGTGGAGGAGCTAGTTATATCTTGGTAGTGTATAATTTAATGACAAAGTTTGTTGTCTTATATCCACTGAAAAAAGCAACATCTAGGGCAATGCTAAATCGCATGTTCAAGCAGTATTTCCCTACCTATGGTTTGGTCAAACGTATTTTGCAGGACCGTGGGACTCAGTTCACCTCCAAGCTGTGGCAAAACACCATGCAGGAGGCTGGTATTAAGTTGGTATACACTTCGGTACGCCACCCAAATGCAAATCCCTCCGAGCGCATTATGAGGGAGCTTGGTAGGCTTTTCCGTACCTACTGTAGTGAACAACACTCTCGTTGGGCTTATGAAGTCAGTAATTTTCAAGAATTCCTAAACAGCGTTGTGCACGAGTCCACAGGGTTTTCACCAAACGAGCTCCAGCTGGGTGTACCACCTTTGAGGCTTCTTCCACCTGCAGTTGGAAATCCCTTGAATGGTAACGTTGACTCACCTCCCGAACATAAACTCATATTAGCTGAAGCAACGCTGCAAGGCAAGGCAGCACGTCGGGCATTAAGAAGCCCTGGAAAGCCTTATCACCGTTTTTCACCTGGTGAGTTGGTGTTGTTAAAGGCCAATAATCAGTCCTCTGCACTCAAAGCCGAAACTAAGAAGTTCCTTCTTTTGTTCGAAGGACCTTACAAAATTAAAAAGCAGATCAGTGACGCCACTTACCTTTTAATTGATCCTGGTAATAATAAAGAAAGAGGCATGTTTCATGCCAGTCACCTGAAATTGTACCATCTACCATCTTCAGTTCAATGACCCTTGGCACTTTTCATTTTCACAGAAGATTTGGGGGCAAGTTGTAACGGGACAATCAGGTTCCACGTCCTTCCGTTTCGTATCGCAGCCATTATATTCGCTATTTTTGATAGATAATAAATATAAATTCCTTTAGCCGTGTACATTTTGTTGTTGGGTAGGTACTCTGTCTACTAAATAATTGTTCAAAATTGTTTTGCTATTAGTTATAAGCATTTCAGCTATAATCCTAATTTATTTGAGCATCATTGCGCCATCTACCAACGAGCCAATAAACTGCAAGTTCATCCATGTTGGGGAGATGGTAGAAATCTATCAGTTGTTTTTGTTGGTGATATACCCTACGGACAGGGGGCTCTACAGGTATGATTTTTCGATGAATTGTTTTTTGCGCCATTCCACCACACATTTGATTGTGATAAAAACTAGTGTGGGAGATAAAGTTCTTGAACGAGGCCTTTTTGATAGCAAAACCTGAAGGCAGTCACACCTCTCTTCAAACTGACTCTCTAATAAAACTTTATGGTAGAACCTAAGGGTCTATAACAATTGCGAAAACACTTCGTTTTTGTGACCTGGTCAACTTTACAGGTAGGCGAAATTATGTATTTCTATAAATTTTTCCTCAATTTGAAACTTTTCTCCACGTGGTCATGAGCTTTGATTTTTGGTTAAGAATTATAATGATTTTCTCAGACTAGCTATTAACAATCATCGACGTACTCAGAATCAGTTATTTCTCAAGTAGTTGCAAATGAAAGCATCAAATATGTCCTTAAAAGCATTTATTTTCACTAGTAATTCAAATTAATATAGTGTATTCTTGTTTCAACAATATTTGTATAAACTATATATATATCATGGTCAACTTTACAGTTTTAGTGAGACAGAGGATCGCCCTGTATAGATGGCTATTTAATAATATACAATAAAAATACTGAGTGGCTTGCGTAATCCTGTGTTATTTCTACGGCCTATGGTTACCAACACGGCCAGAACCCCCATAAAAAACCCCTGAGAAAATTGTATCATAGCACTGTATATCAGTACACTGCGGCCGGCCGCTGGTCCCAGTGCTGGGTACCCAGCAATCATATTCAGTTCCCCGGCAAAAGGCCAGTACAACAAAATCGACACATTGAGTTTCCCAAAGCAAGCCCAGCACATACATAAATGATGGAACTGTAATGGCCAATTATCGACATTTGATACACACTATCGAGGTTGGGGGAGAGGTAGATATGTTAGGGGTTCAAAGGATCTGAACGTTCTAGTAACTATATTTTTTAATGTGACCATCTCATCATGATATATTATATCAAACAGACATATACCAGATTTCAAGGAAAGAATTTATGAATGACACAATGATATGTTCTTAACCTCTCTCTTCTTCCATGATGAAATTTCTCAGGGTGACTGCTCACCGACAAGTAACTACATCTACATCTTATTTGGGTAGCATTCCTTCAAAATGGATTCTTCGTTGCGAGGTAGGTACCCCTGAAATATTACATTCTTCATCAGTTATCAGTGGCCTTTCTTGATATCAGAATTACTTCATAGGAGTATCAGAAACGAAATACTGTTGAATGAGTTTATAACTTGATCAATATAGTCTGATAACGTGATAACATATGGAGCTTTCAATTCTCATTATTTTTCTGGCTCACTGGCTCAGGCATTTCTCTAGTTGGAACCTTATTGTTATTTACTTCTATAATAGATACAGGTTTGCATAATATAAGATTTCTTTTGATAGCAACTAACGAATTAAACATGATAGTTATACTTCTGGAGAGGTATAGAGCCACTCCAATTATTATGATCACTAGGTATATGAGGTTATGAGATACCAAACACATGCGTTCAATAATGAAATTTGGAACACTAGATAGGTTGATTTATGCTTACTCAATATATTATCATAATTGAAGAATCCATCTTCTATATAATCAAATGAGAATACTCCTGCCATCATAAATAACGACAATAATTCGACAACAAACCAGAGAAAAATGAAACATACGCTATCACTAGAGTCAAATATAATGATGATCCAAATGATCAGCTGATTGTTTATAAAGACGTTCCCAGAACATCCACCAGGGGGACGAGTAGTGAACAGGATATTGGCCAGCAAAGGGCCACAACTCGTTAGTGTTCAACTGGTTCCAGACATCTTACCATCACAAGGACATCATCGCATTTTTGATTGATGGTTACTTGGCCCATTACCTATACCCCGGCATCGATACTTTCCCAGCCTTGCCTGCACTAGACCGGACTTCTCCCGGTACTTCCATGTTTGCTGGGATATTTCAACCAATCGAGAACGTATATATATTTTGAAATGAGTGGAATAATCACTGAAATGACGCCCCTGATAATATTGTTTCCTTGCAGGGTGACTACATATGGATCGAGCCGACGACGGCCGGCGAGTTCGATGTCGCCATCGGCGCGCGGGTGGCGTCGGCGGAGGGGCGTCGCATCGCCGTCAAGGACGACGATGGCGACGAGCACTGGCTGGCGCCCGAGCGCCGCATCAAGGCGATGCACGCCACCTCGATACACGGCGTGGAGGACATGATCGGGCTGGGGGACCTGCACGAGGCCGGGATACTCAGGAATCTGCTCATCAGATACAACGAGAATCTCATTTATGTAAGTGGATATAATTAGAGTCCCTGTATGTATTTGACAGTTTTGCTGTAATAGGTCGCGTGCACGATGACCGACCCTGGAGGCAAAATATTGGAACACAACTTCACTCTTCTGTGAATTATTGAAACACAACCTCACTTTTTAATTTGTTTACAGAGGAATCAAAGGATTGAAATAGTTTTCCACAATATTTAGGAATACGAATCGTTGTTTTTGCGCTATTCATTAATTCAAGCATGCCTTCGCATTGTGCTGTTGTACAATGCACAAAAAATGCAGCGAGAGACGAAAAAATTTGATTTTTCAGGTAAATAGTAATCTCACATAGTTATCATTATGAAATGTTGTCATTCCTTATTGAAATTTCCTTCCTTCCTTCTGCCACTTCTGCAATACAAGCTAATACTGCTAATAGATTGAAAATGTCTACAACACACATGATCTTATTTCGTCAGAATTTCAGACCAGTCCTCCCGTTTGATTGCATGAATCCAATCTTCTTGCATTATTTTAGAAATTTCACTAGTATTAACTATTAGCTCCTATTGCAGAAGGAATTCCGATGAGAAATCAGAGGAATTACCAAATTTCAAAAATGAAAACTATATGTGAGTGACTATAGTAGGTACTTACTTTAAAATCATAATGTACCAACCGAATTCCTTCGTCTTCCGCTGCAGTTTTTGTGCATTGTACAACTGCACAATATGTTGTGTGAGGTTGTGTTTCAATGTTGTGCCTCCAGGGTCGGTCATCTTACAGTTCTTGCACGCAACCCATAAGAGTAAGGACACTATGACAAGCAGTGACAGAATGCATAACCCCAAATTCTCAAAATGACTATGGACATGCTATGCATGGATATGCTTTTCCATGCACTTCGGATCTTCTTTCCTCTGCTGCCACAATGAAGGGTACATCCATATATATCTTTCTCTATCTTTCTTTTCATAGAGAAGTGGCGTCTCATCTCACTAGCCAAAACGGGTCATAGTTTGTAAGTTATTTTATTGATAGGATTTCTCGGTACACTTAACAAAGGGTATATGTCGAGTCGATTCATTTAAAGAAGAGTAAGGATTTAGTAGCCAGTTCTGCTGAGCGAAATGTAAATGAATGGGAAGAACAATTCAACCAATTAACAAACTTACAGAACGTCAATATTTCTGTGAATATTTCGCCCTCGTCGAAATATGATATCCGATGGACTAGTGTGGAACTCATGTGGTGCTCACACCACAAGTATTCTAACACACATGTTGAGTTCTACACTGGTCCATCGGATATTATTTTCAGAGGGAAGCGAAATATTCTGGGAAGTATTGACCTTCTGCCACTAACTTAGATCAGGTTGAATCGTGGCACGTTTGGATATTCGCAATGGCGACTTCAACCTCTTTTATTTGCTATATGAATCGCTTTGCCGTGGATTTGGCTCAGACTGAGGGGTATGGCACAGGTAGGTTTTTGAAATCTACCATTCAATTGGTATCGGATGGTATGATTCTTATCTCGTTATCAAATGGCGAAATCGATTGCAAATTTCCGCACAGGAAAGTGCAATTCTTCAATAATTTTGCTCAGAATAGTGATTGGCACAGGTGTCGTTCGATAAACTACAATGTTTTTACATGCCTTTGGAACATATATCATTTCGTCATCAGATGACGGTCGACATTTGCAGCCGGCTTGGACTATTATATTAATATGAATATTGGGATTCTGGAGCTCGTGAATCCCCCTGACGCGAGGGCTGGATACGTTCCTTGATAGGTTGTCTAATCTAAACATTAGAATGCCAATGGAACGGTGTGCAAAAAATGTAGGTTTTTATTCAAAGTAAGAAAGTCGGTGCCGTAAAGCTGGAGGACTAACATTATTTCAGGTAGATTGAAAATTACCAATTATAGTCTTAGAGCTGCCTACATGCGTTCCAACGTGACTCTGTGCATTCACAATTTTCTTCTGGAATGATTCCATTTACCTATGATGCGGAACACTAAGGCGCGAGTCTGCCGTTCGGTCTCGGAGACTTATGTGGTGGCGAGCGGGGAAAGTTACAGAGTTTCGAAGGTAATCAACGTCATCAGTACATTCATAAAAACTCGTGTACATATACGGGTGTCCCGTTACATGATTCCCATAGCTCGAGGACATATTCCTTGAACAATTTCAAGTCGAAAGTGTCCTAGACACTTTTGTCTAAAACTCTTTAACTGAGGAGTAAAGAATATTATTGAATTTAACAGAGTCTGTAATGAAGCAGAGAGAAGTTATATTTGAATAAAGTAATGAAATATTTTGTCAATTATGAATATGTTTTGTTCAAAATGTCCCCCCGCTACTTTCCAACACATTCAACTTCATTCTTCAAAAGTACGCAATTCCAATTTATAAAAGAATTGATATGAGAACCAGTTGTCGTCAATACCTTATAAGTCTTGGTATACTAACAATCTACAGTCCATGGAAGCTTGCATTTATATCTATAAAAATAAAAATAAGTTTGCAGTAGATAACAATCACTGCTATAACATTCGTCATAGAAATCTTTTGCTGCCTGATTATCATCGCACATCGCTTTACCCGAGGCTTTACCAAAGCAACTTTTACTGTATTGGTTGTTAGTTCTATAATATTCTTGATGATCATATAAAATCATTCTCCAATGTTCATATATTTTCTAATCAAGGTTGAAAAAAATAAGTGCTGTACTTACTCCTTAGATGATTTCTTTGTGTGAAAATATTTTTTAATTCTGTAAACTGTATGGTTGTTCCTTTTATATATGCATTTCAAAGTAAATCTGTAATTGTTGATATGTCCTTGCTCAATGTGAATGTAATTTCGACGTTTTTATTCATTTATGCACCTTTTGTGCATTTCAATGAAAAAATAAAGGAATATTATTATTATTATTTCATATAGAAATGTATCAGTATATATGTAATTGTTGACATGTTCTTGATCAAAGTAACTGTAATTTTGATTTGACGTATTTGATCATTTATGTAACGTGTGTTCATTCAAATGATGAAATGAAAAATATTATTATTATTATCATTCTTGCTCATCTAATTATTGAAAACGTGATCTCGGTGGCCAAAGAACTGGACCACCTCTTGCATTCTACTGGTTAGCAAAGTTGTTATTCAATTGCTCATAACTCCTTAACTATTGAGTTTGAGACAAAAGTGTATAAAACACTTTCGACTTGAAATTGTTCGAGGAATATGCCCTTGAGCTATGGCCATCGAGTCACGGGACACCCTGTATAGCATGTGACGTCAGAAAAAGTTTGGCAGACCGTTTTCCGGGCGCTGAAGTGCCGACAGACCGCGTCGAAATTGAAAAAAAAATCGGAAAATCAACGCGATAAAATTATTGAGTCTTGAAATTAGGTGTACGTATTGATCATATATCAATTTTTTTATATGTTGAATGATGGCAGACCAAAAAGTGGAGGACAACCCGTGCCGGACAACGATATATACCTTCCACAGTGGCACCCAGGCGTAACACTACTATACTTGAACTAGGTACCTACCACTGGAACATAAAATTGAAAATTCCCAGCCCTTGGAATGGGCGTGTACACCTCAGTAGAACTTTTAACTCAAACCATGTTTAAAATGATCCTTTTATACATAAATAATGATTGACGACATAATTCGATCGAAAAATTAACTGGAATGTTTTATTTTTGGTCATAAATAATTGTACCTTCTGAAAACGGACCCTCTTATATGACGTAGAAACCTCATCTCGCCATAGTTAAAAGAAAATACCAAACGCCCGACGGAGACTGAGGCAACTGATATATTAATTCTTCAACTGTGATCTCGCGCTAATTCACTCATTCATTCAATTCATCTATGTCTGGAATATTCTTGTTCCAGTATTAGGGTTTTGACGTCACATCATCGCCTCGTTTTCAGAGGTCCGAAAAATCGGGGATTTCAATAATTTTTTATAAAACGTAGGGAGCTCACAGCAAGAAACGGTTTGCGGTGGTGAGCTAGTTTGGGTGAGTTCAATCGAATTATGAAATAAAAATGGTTTGTGATATAAGCCCATTGACTAGGATAGGAGTTACTTTATGGATATTGTATTTTTCCAAACTTTCATCATCACCGTTGTTGCGTTGTTGTATCGTTGCAACGATATAAAGGCTTGAATGTTGATATTTATTATGTTTCATCATTTCAGACTTATACAGGGTCCATCTTGGTAGCTGTCAATCCATATCAAATACTGCCAATTTATACTGCTGACCAAATAAAATTATACAAAGAACGAAAAATTGGAGAGTTGCCCCCACACATTTTTGCCATCGGTGATAATTCCTATGGGCACATGCGAAGGTATGTATATAGTCAAAATGATAATAATTATTCAAGTATCCTTTGGATACATCTAATTATAGCAACTGATTAATTTGCTACTCAGTGAAGCCTTCATATCGAGTGATATCGTTTGAAAATATATGGGGTGTCCAAGATAAGGATGTCTATCATGGGGTAAAGTTGATGATGGTTTCTTCGAAACGAAACGTCGTACGGAAAGTCTCTCAACGCTGTCTTGTAGAGCTTAAAAAGTTTCTTTTGTTTTCCTATATATCTTTGAATAACGTCAGAAAAAATTAAAAACGATCACCATAATTAATAGACATCCTTATCTTGGACACAGTGTATAATATATGTCAATATTTATTATATTATTTTACCGAACTAATCCCTTCAAGGAAATTTTATGTCAAATTACTTTCAATTTTTTATTCACCTTCAACTAATAAACTACAACAAGTATTATAATGGCATATATTCATTCCAAGCGCGTTTATGGTCATGTATGCACTAAATATGTATATGACGTGGTGTCCCAAAGTTAACCTGAAGAAATTATTCACACACGACACACGATCAGATTCACGTTTTTTGCGAAACAATTAAAAGCTCTGGAATGTTCAATTTCTGGAATAGTTTAGAGAATATAATTGTTGATATATCAGTCCATTCAAACTCATAATATTTAATAGGTATGGTCAGGATCAATGTATTGTTATATCTGGCGAATCTGGTGCTGGAAAAACAGAATCTACAAAATTGATCTTACAATATCTGGCAGCCATAAGTGGAAAGCACTCCTGGATAGAACAGCAGATATTGGAAGCGAATCCAATATTAGAGGCTTTCGGAAATGCTAAGACAGTACGAAACGACAACAGCTCTAGATTCGGAAAATACATCGACATACACTTCAATAGCAATGGGGTCATCGAAGGTGCAAAAATTGAACAATACTTGCTGGAAAAGAGTCGAATCGTCTCTCAAAATACCGATGAAAGGAACTATCATGTATTTTATTGTCTGCTGGCCGGTCTAGGGAGAGATGACAAGAAGAAATTGGAACTTGGTGATGCTAGTCAATATCGATATCTAACAGGGGTGAGTGCATTTCATTATCTATAGTCCAACAAAAAAAAAATATATTTCTAAAAAAAATTATATTTTGAGTGCGAAAATTTAGCACCAGAAAGGGAGATATGGGCATCAGTTCAGAGATATCCTTCTTGACGCATGCTGACTATATTAGTTTAATTTTAATCGATATATTTTTTTTCAAAAATATTGTGGACGCCAAGGTTGATGAGGAAGTTGATTTTGGTACGCTGACAGCGTAGAGTAAGTGTGGATTTATACAGCAAAAATTTACAATTATCAAGTAACAATTATCAATTAACAATTATCAAGTAAGGAGTAGCTAAAATGCTACCATTTATGCAAACAAAATTGACAATTGAAAATAAAAAATACGCAGGCGCAAATGTCCTTTCCAATACATTCAAGATAACCATCGCACATTTTTTCATAATATTTTAGACACATTTTTGGGATATTGCTATCACAAGTGGGGCCAAGACTGAAAAATAATAGGAATAATGAAAAGTAAAAAGAAACACAAAACCGGTAAATGTTTTGAGGTTAGTTTTCATCATGAGATGGACCAATCCTCGGTCATCTACAAGATCATCTGCGTACTAGTTGCGCACAATAAGAAAACCTGATTCAATTAATGTAAAATGTTAAAAGTTGACCAATCTACTACTTGTTAATCGATAAATGTTGATTTTTAATTGTCTGCATAAACACAGTGATTGAAAATAGCAAGTTCATTTCATAATTGATAATTGTAATCTGATAATTGTTAATTGATGCTGCATAAATCCACACTAAGCGTTAGCCCATTATTCCGATTCATTTGATAACTTATATTGGTTAGTGAGATTGTGTGTACCAAGGCATTGACAGTTTTTGTTATGCATAGAATGACGACTCTGAGCTGCCATCTCAGAACAACTTTTTTTCACGTAACTCGATCCGCATAGAAAGATCGAATGGTAGTCTACTAGCAATTACTGGAAAAACAGTCACATTACTTCACCGCCCGATCACGTACTTTACCGCCCGCTGTACTCCTATATCGCCCTTGTGCGCTAAAGTGCTCTTTCACGCCTGCGAGTCTGGGCGATAAAGTGGCACTTTACGCCCGGTCGTGCATAAAGATGTTTTATGATTGCAGTTCAGAGCAGACTAGTGGTGTTGCTCGGCAACACTATGACAGAATTATCCGAATTATTCCGAACATCGTATATCATTACTATTGAAAAGTTGATTTATGTTGATATATATTTCAGGGTGGATGTATAACCTGTGAAGGAAGAGACGATGCAGCAGAATTTGCAGATATCCGGAGTGCCATGAAGGTTCTTCTCTTTTCCGATTCCGAAATTTGGGAAATTCTGAAGTTACTAGCCGCATTACTCCATATCGGCAACATTAAATACAAAGCGACAATGGTAGACAATCTAGACGCCACAGAAATTCCCGATCACACCAATGTCCAGCGAGTTGCTACACTTCTCGGTGTTCCTATTCAACCTCTAATCAACGCACTTACTAGAAAAACTTTGTTTGCACATGGAGAAACAGTTGTATCAACATTGTCGAGAGATCAGAGCGTCGATGTAAGAGATGCCTTCGTCAAGGGCATATACGGCAGGATGTTTGTGTTGATAGTGAGGAAAATTAATAAGGCAATATATAGGCCGAAAGAAAGACAGCGGACCTCCATTGGCGTTTTGGATATCTTCGGTTTCGAAAACTTCGACCACAATAGTTTCGAGCAATTCTGTATCAATTTTGCTAACGAGAACTTACAACAGTTCTTCGTCAGGCACATTTTCAAACTGGAGCAAGAGGAATACAACTCAGAAGGGATAAACTGGCAACACATCGAATTCGTCGATAATCAAGATGCACTCGACTTGATAGCTATCAAACAGTTGAACATAATGGCGCTCATCGATGAGGAGAGCAAATTCCCTAAAGGGACCGATCAAACGTTTCTCGCCAAACTCCATAAACAGCACGGCAAACACAGGCATTACTTGAAGCCAAGGTCCGACATCAACACGAGCTTCGGCCTGAACCATTTCGCGGGTATCGTGTTCTACGACACCAGAGGCTTCCTGGAGAAGAACAGGGACACCTTCAGCGCGGATTTGCTACAACTGATAACGATCAGCTCGAATAAATTCTTGCAGCAGATTTTCGCGGAAGATATCGGGATGGGTTCGGAAACTAGGAAGCGGGCGCCTACTTTATCAACTCAGTTCAAGAAGAGTCTGGATTCTCTCATGAGAACCCTTTCCAATTGCCAGCCGTTTTTTATAAGATGCATCAAACCCAACGAATTGAAGAAGCCGCTGATGTTCGACAGGAATCTCTGCTGCAGGCAGCTCAGATATTCTGGTATGATGGAGACCATCAGGATCCGGAGGGCTGGGTATCCTATAAGGCACAGTTTTGCAGAATTCGTTGAACGCTACAGGTATCTATATACAGGATGATTTTCAGGTTCCAGGGTAAAACTGGAATGGGTGATATATCTAATTATTTCAATCGAAAATGTGTACACAAACATGGGTCCTACGATCAGTAGCGGAGCTTCATGGGGTCAAAGTTCAATTATTTTTTTTATCAATTGAAATATCTTGCTCACTTCTAGAGATATCCATTTGAATTTGAGTGTGGTCAATACTTCCGAGGAGATTACCATTTGAAGCATTTCAAAGAAATCTACAGGGTGATACGTTTTTGGTGGTAGAGGCTTCTTTTTCCCCCAAAAACTTTTTCATAGTACGCTTTCGACACCTTCCATTTACCAAATATGGTGGATCATTCAATTTAGAGGCTTCTTCTGCTCATCAATTCTTTTCTAGAAAGGAACTGTTCTAGAGATAAATACTTAAACATATCCGTTCTATAACATATCATAATTTCGCCAGATTTTGCTTATTATGTTTCGCTTGAATTTTATTCTAGGAGAACATTCGTTAAGAATGCAATGAAATTTTCTGAGATTACAATGTTTCTGATCATGTGTCTAATCTGGATCGTTAGCGGGGAAACAGAGGCTAGAAGGTCAGGTTTCTTTTAACCGACCAATACAACAACGTGGAAAACTCGTGTTAAGCCACTATAGTGTAGACCCATCTAGTTGTATTTAATATCTTTCTCAATGCCATTGAAAAAATCGAAAAACAGTATGGCATTCAAACTGTAGGGTCCACAAAGGAAATTAGAAAATAAATAATTATGCCACATTATGTAAATTATGGTAATTTACCACCATATATCTATAGTAAATCGGAGGCTATATCAGCCCACAATACATATATTTTGTACTATTCATCATTTTCAATATTGTTGGCAAATTTTGTCCAAGAATAAAATTCAATAAAAAAAACATGTTTTAGGATTCTGAATGCTTATTTATCTCGAAAACGGTTTATTTCTCGGAAAAAAATGAAAGGCAAAAAAAGCCTCCAAATTGAACGATCCATTCTATTCGGGCATTGTCGTTCTAGATGACAACCTAGTTAGGTAGTTAGTAGGCAGGAACTCCTCGCACTAGGTCGCCTACTAGTTTTTTCATTTCGATCGACAATGATTCGGGAACTGGGAGATGCCAGAGGGGTACTTTATAAAAGTTTGGGGAGGATAAAGAAGCCTCTACCCCCAAAGACCGTATCACCCTGTAGATTTTAAAAACCTTTGAAATGCTTAAAATTATGATCTTATAGAAAGTATTAACTATCAAATTCCGAATTGATATCTTCAAAGTGAGCGAGATATTTCAATTGATCGAAAAAAATTTAAATTTTACCATCTGTAGCTCCGCTTTTATGATCCAGATTGGACTCAACGATGAGATCTATCACCCATTTCAGTTTTTACCTCAAAACCTGAATTACCCAGTATAATTAAACATTAAAACTCGAGCAGTAGGTTAATATCAACATCTTTTCACTTCCAAACATATCTACATGATTGAATTCAAAAGTATGAAGCACTTTATTCACAATATACTTGCCTCTGCATTGAAAAATTAAATTTCCAGTGTCTTTGAAGATGAATTTGTTTGCTTATAGTCAGTGATTTCTTGAGGAATGTTGAAAAACCAGAAGCAACAACACAGTATTTATAGTTATAAAATGCAGCTTTGTTAACATGTTTTCGATTTTTGTTATCAGTGACACAGTATACACCCTAACGTTAGGGTGTATACTGTGTCAGTGATCTGATCATCTGGTAGATTGAATTGATAAAGCAGGACTTTGTGAATGTGGCTGAATGGAATTTTGATATGTAGAATGAAATTTTCAAAAGAAATCAACTTTTTTACAGATTCCTTATACCAGGCGTTCCTCCAGCACACAAAACTGACTGCACAGCAGCAACTGCGAGAATATGCTCCATGGTATTGGGACGATCAGACTATCAATTAGGTCATAGTAAAGTTTTCCTGAAAGATGCTCACGATCTGTTTCTTGAACAAGAAAGAGACAGAGTTTTGACGAAGAAAATACTCATTCTTCAAAGGTAAATTATAAGTTGCATATTGTGTACTCACATTAAACTTTTTATATGGAAACTATGAAGGTAAGAGTAACAGAAGTGCCTAAATCTTTGGGAGTCGTGTTTTTTATTATTTTTCGTAGGATGCTGAGTTTTTGGTCAGGGAGTTTTAGGTTTAGGTTTGGGAATGGTTCAAAAACTATATAGGCTATCGTAGAGTAACCTATATTATAAAACAAGAGTCGTAAAATGCATTCTATTTGTTGAATCCAACGGGGGCAGTTTTCGGGGATTCTGATTCCGAATCTGATAAAAAAGTTATTTGAAATAAACTTAAATATCCTTTTCCCGAATGAAGGCATATTTTATGAATCCCTCAACATCGCACGCCAATGGTGAATGATACTATATTCACTCTGCTAATTACTACATTGTTCTAACATACAATTATTACCAAAGTTTCAAGAAAATCGCATCATCAATAACTGAGATATACTACTCTATTAGGGTGTATTCATGAAAAGCGGGGCTCACTGTACATGAGAAATAATAATAATAATTTAAGAGCTTTATTGGATACCCAAAAGGCTACCGACCGAGGTCCTTCAGCCTGTGTTACACAGTGATTATACATTGAGTTTAAATTCATCATTATTGTATGTACAAGATATATGGAATTATTAAATTTGCTAGTTAAAAAAAATAAGAAAAGTCTATTGTGAGGCAAGATGTATATGAGATTTTTTTGGAAATGATCAAAAGATAGAAAGGTACACTCAGTAAGCGGATGTGATGGTCATTATCAAAATGGGTGTCTAGATATGGCTTTTATCTAAATTTGATATTCAAAAGCTATCAGAAGACATTGCCGGAAAACTTATTTTTATCATACTCCTTCAATGGGCGTGTACACCTTAGTAAAACTTTTAACTCAAACCATGTTTATAATGATCCTTTTATACATAAATAATGATTGACGACATAATTCGATCGAAAAATTAACTGGAATGTTTTATTTTTAGACATAAATAATAGTACCTTCTGAAAACGGACCCTTTTGTGACGTAGAAACCTCATCTCGCCATAGTTGAAAGAAAATACCAAACGCCCGACAGAGACTGGGGCAATAACTGATATATTAATTCTTTCAATTGTGATCTCGCGCTAATTCACTCTGTCAGAAATCATGTATCATTCATCTCTGTCTGGAATAGTCTTGTTTCAGTATTAGGGTTTTGACGTCACATCATCGCTCGCCTCGTTTTCAGAGGTCCAAAAAATCGGGGATTTCAATAATTTTTTATAAAACGTAGGGAGCTCACAGCAAGAAACGGTTTGCGGTGGTGATCTAGTTTGGGTGAGTTCTATCGAATTATGAAATACATTTTTTTTGTGATATAAGCCCATATATTAGATTTGTCTAATCTTGGTTTTGTACGTTCTAAACAGCCACAGGAATATCGAGAGACATATCAGATGATTTGTCCCAAAATGTCACTGTGTTGGAAATTTCACTATTAAAAAAAAATGAAATTCGATCGATTATCCTATCGTCAGTAATACCTTGTTTGAATAAGAGTTGTCTCCCGATATCTGTGACTGATAGTACATCAGAAATAAACTTACTATATTTCTGATAAGGGAAGTATATCCATTGAAAAAGGGGATTATGAGTATCAGTCTCAAAAAGTACCTGTAATGATTTTGAAATGGGTAAATTTTCTAGAACCAACAGTAAATTTATACAAACCTAGAAAATTTCTAAATCCGATTTCGTTATATAAACTCAAAATATGTTGTTTTATTCATTTTGTCAGGAATACATTTAAAATATCAAACTTAGTTTTTATTGAAGTCGATACAGTCCATTATACTTATGGGACTAGACAATTGAATTACTCAATAGAAAATACATTCAAGTCGAACATTGGCAAACAATCTATATTTCATAATGGAGTAATTTTATACAATTCATCACCGAATGAATTGAAAAATATACATGATGTAAGCAGATTTACAGTCAATCTTAAACAATACCTGGTCAGGACAATTTGATTGAAAAATATTTGGCATGACTTGATTACTCAGAATGGAAACTTTCATCTTAAGAAAAAGTAATATTCTTCTTATTATTTTTATATGTGTTCATGTTTCCCTATTATAAACAGATATGTTTCTTGGGGTAATAAAAACAATCAATCAAAAAAATAATCAAGTTTATTGTGTGATAATTATAAAAATAATAGTTCCAAGCCTTCTTTATTTGTGGAAGGCATGATTGACAAATGGTGGGTTCACAAAACTAATTGCGAGGTTGATTTGTAAACATGATTTATTCAAAAACAGCTCAGTATTTCTGAAGATGTACAAATGACATTCTCATGATAATTTTCAGAAAATGTTCGAATAATAAGACAAAAATGGGGTGAAATACCTACAAACCTAAAAGTTTTAAGGCCGGGCCATCAATCTGAACTGAAAATTTCGGTCTTTTCAGATCTATTCGTGGCTGGGTGTACCGAAGACGTTTCCAAAGACTCAAAGCCGCCACAATAATCATCCAGAAAAATTGGAAAGCGTATATTCAAAAGCAGCGCTACAAGAAGATGCGCATCGGTTACATGAGATTGCAGGCCTTGATCCGTGCCAGGATACTGTCGCATAGATTCAGGCACCTGAGGGGGCACATTGTCGGCCTCCAAGCGAACTCCAGGGGATATTTGGTGAGACGCGAATACGGCAACAAAATGTGGGCCATCATCAAGATTCAGTCGCACGTTAGGAGGATGATAGCCCAGCGGAGGTTCAAGAAGATCAAGTTCGAACAGAAACATCACATCGAGGCTCTGCGATTGAAGAAGAAGGAGGAGAGAGAACTGAAGGATGCTGGAAATAAGAGAGCGAAGGAGATCGCAGAACAACATTATAGGTAACTGATCAAGTTGTTTAAACATGATGTTAATTTCTTAGCTACAATATAATATTGATAGTCCACGGGACAGGAGCCCTTTTCAAAACGTATTAGCAATTCTTTATTGCCAAGTCCAACAACTGTTTTATTAGCGGAAATTCTTGTAAATGAGGCGTTTTCTTACTGCTTACCCAGGAGAAGCGTCAATATAGTGAGACATTCGAACATCGAAGCTCTGGAACACATTTGCCAAGGGAGGTGTTCCCCGAGGCATTTAACCTCCAGAAATTTAAGAAGAACACCAATCCCTACCTCATTTCTCTTGGTTCTCACGATGTTCTCTGAACATTACAGGATATTCCTTTTCGTGGGAACCAGAATATAAAAAAAAAGATACTTAATTGAAAAACAAACGCGAAACAATATTTGTCAGAAAAATTTTTTGAGCATACCCACCACTCAGAAAGTTTTCAAAATAACAACCTGAAGTTAATTTAATAGTAACCAGCTGTTCTGGGCCCGAATGGGGGCTATCTGAAGCCTTTGGTCATTCTCCCACCATCTTCCAGGCTGAAATGCATGTTATCAACCTTATGTGCCTAAAGGTACCTGAGCAAAGGCCTGAGGGGTGCCAATATTTATATCTGCTCAGATTACCAAGTCGCTCTTGAAGCCTTCAAATTATTTCTTTTCACCTCAATGATTTCATGGGATTGCTTTGAAAGTCTGATGCAACTGAGAAACAACCATGGAGTCACACTTATGTGGATTACGAGGCACAAAGGAATTAAAGGGAATGAGGCAGCTGATTGACTTGCAAAAAAGGTGCAGAATCTGCATTCTTTGGTCCTGAGCTATCCTGTGGGACAAGCGAATCTCACCAATGGCAGTGCTTATGGAATGGGGAAACAGTCAAGGAGCTAGTTAGCCTCAACACACCAGAGTTGAAGCTCATCACAGGCTTATTCACAGGTCACTATACCCTCTGAGGTACCACTTCGAAAAGATGAACATAGCCCCGACGCCTGTTGAGGTGGAAAATTCAACCGTCAAGAAAATAATAAGTTTCAACAGAAGTCTAGGGTTGACGTACTAAAATTAGATATGGGTTATCACCATAGTACTTTTAGGTCGTAATGATATCTAGGAGTTTCCCAGCTCATACGACCTACTTACAATTTACAATCCTGTTTTTTTAGGAATTTCCAATACATTTTTCTGAGATAATATGGTTAAATATTGTCCTACAAAAGTGGATTATATTTTTTGTCGACGATCTGAAATATAGTGAAGAATTATCCAAAAACCTGTCGTTCAATGTATATTTTTCATGTATTTAGAGAGAGAATATACCTGATGGAAAGGAAAGAAATGGAGATAGAAATTGAAGAAAGAAAGTTGGTTGAAGAGAAAAAGCACAAAATCAGCGAAGCAGCTAGAAAAGCGGATGAACCTGTTGATGATTCTAAGCTAGTGGAAGCTATGTTCGACTTCCTCCCTGACAGTTCTAGTGAAGCACCTACAGGTTAGTGAATTGTCCTGAACGATTATAGAGTTCTTGTGAGTACAAGATCTCAAATGATGAGATATCTGCCATAGTTTACATTGCTTTTGGAATCTCCAGGAAAAAACTTGGATTAGTATTATGCTATTCTGATTGCGCAATATATTATTCATTATAATTTACATCTATGGAAGAAAACATGGGTCTAACCTTCCAAGAGCACAGCTTCATTGAAACAACGACTGTTGCTTTCCTAAAGTGCACAAATAATTTGGAAAAAACTGGTATAAAACCACTGTTTATACCTATCTCCCTCCTTTGTAGAGAGGCATTACGAACCCCAAAGTTGATACCATCCCCTCGTAAGGGTACCTGACGTGATTTCGTACAGTCACAATGTCGACTAATTTTTCGACTATTTAATTGAATGATCGATAATAGTCTTTTTTCATGAAGAAATGTTCGAAGAAGAGAAAAAATACGATTTGTATTTGAATTTAATGTTCATGACAACTTATCTTGGGTATCTCCATTTCCATTAATCTGCCTGACAGATGTTTAGCTCCTAAGTGAATTGTCCTAGTCCTAAACGATTATAGAGTTCTTGTGAGTACATGATCTCAAATGATGAGATATCTGCCATAGTTCATTTCTATATTTATTTATATTGGTCAAGGTCAACATATCCTAAACCACTTGAGGTAAACAAAAAATTTCAGTAATCTCTTACATATTCAATACATCGATATGTGGCATGCAATCGTGTATTTTTGGCGATGAAACGCCGGATATCAAATTCGAAAACACCAACTTGTATAGAGAAGAAAGAGTCGTGGCAATGAAGTTTCATCAATTTCGATTAATTTCTTCAAATATTAACAGAAAGGCTTCAGGAAATTTCAGTTTTCTTCTGATATCTCTGAAAGTATTCGTATTGTGTTAGGCATAAAATTACACAACAGTGCCAAGATTTAACCGGCCCTTTATCTCTCACGGTTTACGAGATGAGGCTCTAATTCCAGCCACCCTGTACCTACCTCATAGAAATACATTACTATGCAAAACTACCAGGAATATAGTCGTTCCCCAATGCACGAGAACAATTTTTTTGCGGAGAAACTATACCTAAAATTCAGAAATATCTGAACAAATTTCAACTTTTCAGTTTTAATAGTTGATTTGAATTAATAAAAAATAATTGAGGTACAATATGTGAAATTTTAGATCAGGAAGTAGTGAGTGATCCAGAGACAGTGGAAATATTCTTTCAAGATTTGTGTATTGATATTCCAGCTGGATTGTTCAAAAAGTGTCCTTCGCCCGTTTAACCAATTTTCAAAATCGTACCTTATTTTGGGATTTATATCATAAAAGATGGTTTTAAAATAGCACAAAATCATACTACAGATTACTGAAACCAAAATATTCTTGACATAATAATATATTTTTTCAGGTCGTGAAACATCGATCTTCAATGATCTGCCATCTCAACCAGCCGAAAATGAAATCATAAGTCCAATGGTTACTGCTTCCGATGATGAAGAAGACCTTAGCGAGTTCAAATTCCAGAAATTTGCAGCGACCTATTTTCAAGGAAATGTAGGACATCAGTATTCCAGGAAACCACTCAAACACCCGTTGCTTCCTTTACATACACAGGGTGATCAATTGGTGAGTTTTTAATGATCGAAAATATTTTTGAATGATCTGGGTGTGACAGCTAGTTGAAAAATCTTTAGAAAATTAGATAACATCACGCAATGGCTATACCGAAAATTTCAGATTGATGTCTCTTTTGGTTCTCTATAAACATATAATGAATTAGTTAGGATAACTTCCCTGTATATAGTTTTTTTTTTTAAATTTTCGTCATGAGATCACGAAATAAACTATAACCACCCAGTATATTTTTCTGATATTTGGTACTTGCATAGGTACTTGTTTTCCTTCGACTTCCCAAACGATAAGGTACCTACTATAAATACATTATTGTGAAATCAATATGCTGTAGTAACGAATTTCAATAATTTGTTTCGAAATTTTGCAAGAGCAGCAAAAATTTAATCTCAAGTCAATATTGAATTATGAAAGTAGCTTGATGTGAATTCATTTTGATTGCTATAGATACCTACCTACCTGCATTCGTTTATTCATATAGAACATTCCAGTTTGTATTTATACAGTATACAGATCCTTCTATTAGTATTTTCAACATACCTGTACCTATTAATTTTTTTTTATAATGGATCCTTCTGAAGAAGAGGAAAATCTCCCTGATATCAGAACTTTTTCAGGACATTCAGTTTTACGTTTTTTTGGTAGTAGTTCTTTCCAAGCAAATATTGTGCCATGGGTTTTACCCGAAACTAAAATGATTTCAAGATTTGTATGATTCAAGTAATAAACAGCGTGCACCTCTGTAAACTTTTTGTTTCTTGCAAAAATGCAGAAAATACACGTTGATTACGAAAAAATAATATTTATATTAATGAATATATGTCTTGAAATGATTGGTTTATCATTTGATGGCATATTTTTTACGTAATCAACGTGTTCTGCTGATTTGTAAAGAAATATCCAACATTGAAGCTTGATCATCCTGTATTTCCTACCCGAAATCATGAAGAAAATCTAAATAGAAAATCCTCAATTTAACGATTATTAGCAATTCATTATCTTAAGACTTGGGCTGATTATGAGAGCTGCAATTTTATGCAATAAAGGAGTTTACCTAACTTTACTTAGTTTCTAGTTTCGCTCATTTCCCGATGTTATTCCGATGCAAAACCTATTTTATGCATAGCAAAAATGAAAAACCAATCTTATGTATATTAATATCGCAATAATGACGTTCCTGACAAGTAGTGATTTATCCAACAAGAACGAAACAGTATTGACCTATACTCGAACTATCGAAGTTCAGAACCCTCTGAAGACAGAAAAGTTTTTGTTGATTATCTCAAATTTAAATCTAATGCAAATAGCGGTATTTTCCTCTGATGGACTATTACTATTACTATCAACAAAAGCACAATGTTTTATTGAAAATGATGGAAAGACAATTGAGAAATGAATAGAAAAAATATTTTTCATGGAAATATTAATACCCTGCATCTCGAAAATGAAGCAAGTTGGGACACATGTATGAACTTCATTTCCTAAAATATCACAAGGAAGCACCCCTTGAATTTTTTCGGTGTTATTTAGATACACCCTGTATATAAGTGGAATCTTGGAGAATACAGTGAGCATGTTGCTTTTTCAGGCAGCTCAAGCGCTATGGATCACAATTCTTCGCTTCACTGGGGACCTCTCCGAGCCACGTTACCACACGATGGAGAGAGACAACACGTCGGTAATGTCCAAAGTCACAGCCACCTTGGGTCGAAACTTCATACGCAGCAAGGAATTCCAAGAGGCGCAATTGATGGGCCTGGATCCGGATTCATTTCTGAAACAACAGAAACCCAGATCGATCAGGAATAAGCTGGTGTCCCTCACGCTGAAGAGAAAGAACAAACTCGGCGAAGATGTGAGAAGGAAACTGCAGGACGAAGAGTACACTGCTGACAGTTATCAGTCGTGGCTCGAGTCTCGGCCTACAAGTAATCTGGAAAAACTCCATTTCATTATTGGTCATGGAATTTTGAGAGCTGAATTACGGTGAGTCTACACATAATTAGCATATATAGTGGTACTTTAAATCCCTAGGGATTTAGTACATTTTAAATTCCTAGGGATTTGAAGTATATTTTAAATCCCTAGCGATTTGAAGTAGCACTTTTTTCCTGAAATCTAGATCACCATAGTTACTGAGGTCGTTGATTTGGTAGCAGCCCCTTCGATGACGTTTTAGAAATAGAGTATACCTACCGTGTATAGTGGCATTGAATTTTTTTCCTTATTTTTAACGTGTAACCTATCCTTAAGTGCATAAAATAGCATATACACCTCAGGACTAAAGTGTTTCTGAATCCCTCTACAAATTATTGCCCTCCCGTTGGTCGGGCTATAAACTTTATGCCTCGGGATTTAAAAGTGCTCAAATCAACGATGATGATAGATAGTGGCTTCAACATCAGCACTTGGAACCGATGGAAGTAATTTCTCGTTACAGTTGATTGAATATTCCGCATTTACTATTTCTTCCAATAAAAATTGTAAATCTCCCCATAGATATATAACTGGACCTTGAAAATATTTATCAATTTCAAGTGCTTGCCACGGCTGGATTCACTTGCCTTCCTGATTTTCGTCTCATGAACTCAAAACTACTTTCAAGTTGAACATACAATATAAAATATAGTGGGTGTCCCATAGGTCATTTATCAAAAGAAGTGATTTTTTCTTTCACAAATTCAATTCGCATGCATGACCTGTATTACTTCGTATCAATTTAACAAAAATTGTTTTCCTTAAGTTTCGTTGAATGAAATTATTCAGTTGATGTTTTTTAAGGTCGCTGGTAGATTTGAAAACTACCTTACAAAGATGACCATTCAACAGAAAATGTTTCCCAACTAGGGCAATTGAAAACAATCAATTGAAATGACTTTTATTCACAGATGCGGACTATATATATCAGAAATCAGGGAAGACATTTTGAATATTTATTTTAAAAGTTGATAATGAAATTGTTGTTGGCTGAAGTGTATGCCTAGTTTTATCGTAATTAATTTTGTCGTGAACAAACTACATGATTTTAGAGAGAAATGAAAAAAAAAGATTACTTTTGAAACATCAACAATTGGATAACCACATATACGGTTAGTTTTATTGGAGATGACCCTTTCTACCACCCTACTTCCTTTGATCCATGACTCATGGGACACCATGCACGAAAAACGGTCAGTTCTGTAATTTCTGCCACATTCGAATCACTTTCGGCTCAGCCGGAAGCAACCCCAATATTTTTTTGATAGTATGTATTAGTTACACACTGCATGAATAACTAGAATAGGTATTATTGGTATCACTTCATCATGATATTACTTTTGGTTGACAGGGACGAGATCTACTGTCAAATATGCAAACAACTCTCGAACAATCCTTCGAAATCATCACATGCGCGAGGTTGGATCCTCCTGTCTCTTTGCGTCGGATGCTTCGCGCCTTCAGAAAAATTCGTCAGCTACTTGCGAGCCTTCATCCGAGAAGGCCCCCCTGGCTATGCCCCCTATTGCGAGGACCGTCTGAAGCGCACTTTCAACAACGGAACAAGAAACCAACCGCCTAGCTGGCTAGAACTCCAAGCTACCAAATCTAAGAAGCCCATAATGTTGCCGATAACGTTTATGGACGGCAATACTAAGACGCTGCTAGCTGATTCGGCCACTACTGCCAGAGAGCTGTGCAACCAGCTCTCGGACAAGATTGGCTTGAAGGACCAGTTTGGATTCTCGCTCTATATTGCTCTATTCGATAAGGTTTCTTCGTTGGGTAGCGGAGGGGACCATGTGATGGATGCCATATCACAGGTAATGAAATAGAATAAGATATGTTAACATTATTCATTTTCAAAGGACTGCTGACAATGGAGGATGTTGTTCAAGTGTTAATCAACGAAACACGGAAGGTGAAGCGATTCAAATAAGACACACGAGCATTAGCATTCAATACTCTCGAGCGTGTATTTCATATTCTCCTACGATCCCAACATATCTTCCTGTATATTCCTCAAACTAGCGTGTGTTTTTCAACTGTGCCATATGTTTTGCTCCTTCTTTTCTAGTATTATCTGATACTGTACTGCTACTGATCCCTCAGAAGCGTTCTGGCCCCACGAAGGGTCTTCGCGTTCCTTTCCTATCGAGTATGTCCGCTATTTCATTTACCTCAAGCTATTCCCGAATGCCCTGGAACCCATAGAAGTTTGACTGTATTTCTGTTGGCTAGCTCGTTCAGTTTCCCCAGCTTTCCCAAACCATTCGAGAGTGACAATTATAGAGCTCAGCGCTTTAATGGCAGATTGACTATCAGACATTATAATGATATCTTGCATTTTATAGTTTTTTTCTAGATTGAACTGTACACATTTCTCCATAGTTTGAACTTCCGTCTAAAATATGCTTGTTAATTTGCAAAGACTTTCGAAGTACACTCGTATTCAGAGTCGCGATTGGAGGGTATGAGCGCTCTTATTGCAGCGGTGATTAAGAGAGCTGACATCGTCCATGTGGGACATGTTTTCTGAAGACGACTGTACTTGGTACGAGGCCCGTTGACTCCTGTTCCATTTTCGGATTTGTAGCCAACTGTGTACCACTTATTGGCTCCATCTTTGAGCTCAATACGCATAGATTCGCTCTGTTTCATTCGTTTTTGCAGCTTAGCCTTATTTAAGAGGGTACGTGTGTGTGTGTCGTGATTTGTTTCACAAATCTGTACTTTTCCTTGATCTCACCCGTAGGCAAGTCCTGGATTTGCTGCTGAGTGGACAGTTTGGCCTGCCTTTGAATGTCTTTCCCTTTGCCGCATTCTCCTCAACTGAATATAGAGTAGTGATGTTTAAAATTACCTCCATTGCGCCAGTGAGACACGTTTTCATTGCACCGGTAATGTATACACATGATAGTCTCCGAGAATACTTCCTTTACCAAATACTTCCAAAGCTTAGCCGTTCTATACACAAGCAAGTTTCGAAAAAGAGTTATTCAAAACATATCTCGAGACTGACCAAAGAATGTGCTGACTAAGCTTATCGAGTCCGTCTGACTAGTATTACTAGTGTTGGAATAATGGCCGAGATTTCTGAGAAAACATTTCTCGTGGAAGTATCGAAAGAAAAGTGATGAAAGGTCGCTGACTTTCCTACGGTGTTCTAATTGTGTCAATTAGTGATGTCTAGTTATTGTCTTGATCTTCTCTTTGAATATTATATGACCTGTTTCGTTTGTGTTTTACCTGTGATTTTTCACGAATGCATATTTCACTTTACAGTGTGAACAGTACGCTAAAGAACAAGGTGCCCAGGAACGCAACGCCCCATGGCGCCTATTCTTCCGCAAGGAGATATTCGCCCCATGGCACGAACCCACCGAGGACCAAGTCGCTACGAATCTCATCTATCAACAGGTCGTTAGAGGCGTAAAGTTTGGAGAATACAGGTAAGGATGAACGAAACTCTTCGCTAGAAAGTATCAATACCCGCGTATGATTGGAGGGAGGATAATAATAATAATGATAATAATATTTATTTCCCATTAGACATACATAACATGTATTGGAATTGTCATAAATCATAATATTCTTGTGAATTATAGAAACAATTTTCAATTGAATAATTCATTAGCAAGTTACCTACTGAATTTATTGAGGTTTGTTATATCCATGATTTCCTTCGATATTCGAGATGGTCATGAATTGGTGCATTTTTTCCGTAATTCAACCTCTCCGTTTCTGATTTAACGATAGTGTACCATGAAATTTGCATTGCCCGTATAGTATAATAGTCAGGTACATTAAGGTTTTTGAGGTTTTGTAATGGCAAAAAATTAAAAGTTGTGTGGGCTTGGAACATAACAAACTTGTTGAAGGAAAGAAGTCTGCCAACTGTTGGTAAATTGAACATATTGTTACGTTATTCGGGTGCAGAAGCGAACACGACACTATTTATTTTCGAACTGTTTTATTTTAACTAAAGGAACATTAATTTATATCGAACTTATATAACTATTATTTATGTAAAACGATTTATATTACGCGGTATATGACTGTCTCTCTGACACTCGCTGCTTGACTGACTGACGGCAGTTGTCCGGCCGTCCTTATACAGGGTGTTTCCTAACTACGGTTCCTAACTGCAGGTGGTGATTCGTTAGGTCATATTAGGAAGAAAAGTTCCTATTAACATATGTCCGGAGTTGCTTCGTCTCTGAGATACAAGGCGTTGAAATTAATGAAAAAAAACGGTAATTATAAAATATCATGAATATCATAGAACCGATTTGATTGAAATTTTGTACTTTCATTTGAACTAATATGGCGCTTGTTTAGCCCTATTTAAATTGAAATTATTGGGGCCAGTGGCTTCTCAGTGGGCATCACAGCCAACAGTATTGTGAAAAAAAAGTACGCTACTGGCTTTTTTTGGTAAATTTTAATTTTGTTTACATTGAGCAACTTAAAATACAACTATTTGGTTACTTGCATTTTCTTCATATTCAGCTTCGTTTTCGAGAAAAAAATTCAAAGCCACTGTATTGCATATCATGAACACCGGCATTGGAGAAATGAGTTTTTCATTATTTCCGCCAAAAATTTAATTGACACTTGATATGCTGAAATTTTAGAAAATTCGAAAAATAAAAGTACCCAACCAAATCGGTTACAGGATATTCATGATATTTTATAATTATCGTTTGTTTTCTTTAATTTCAACGCCCTGTATCTCAGAAACGAAGCAACTACGGACATATGTTCATAGGAACTTTTCTTCTCAAAATGACCTAATAAATCACCCCCTGCAGTTAGGAACCGTAGTTAGGAAACACTCTGTATATGAGATCCCTTGGTAGGCTTTATTGCTTCTTGAACGTTCTCGAATGATCTTTCGTACCCTTCTTTTTGATCTAGAAGCTTCTTAGAACAATACCTCTCTCTATAATTGTTCCATCGATTGTTTCCAGAACATTCCAGAATCTTCTGTCACGTTATTTGTCACCGCGACATATATTGAGTGTTCGGAAATAGGCTGGTACATGTAGGAGTCGTTGGGATGCGTGTTACAGGGTGATCGTTGTATAATTCTACAATATGTTCATGTTATGTTCATTATTCATTTGAAAATCTCACTACCAAAATTAGCAACAAAATTAATTATGTATCAGAATCGTTTAAATAACAGTATGTTTTCATCAAGAAATATTTCCAATCATCCGTTAGTGAACGAGTACCGATCTTCTGACCGATATACTTGGTAAGAAAAGTATCGATATCGGAAAGCCTTGGGTAATTTCTCGTATATAGGTACTACTGTCTTTTCATCCCTAATTACAGGTGCGACAAAGAAGAGGACTTGGCCATGATAGCGGCGCAGCAATATTTCATCGAATACAACTCGGATATGAACATGGAGAGACTGCTCACGCTTCTACCGAACTATATACCAGATTATTGTCTGACAGGGGTGGAGAAAGCTGTCGATAGATGGGGTGCTTCAGTAGTCCAAGCTTATAAGAAAAGTTATTATGTGAAAGAAAAGGTAAATTTACCAAGTCATTATTGAATAATTGTAGAGTAGGCTACGGGTTAGATAGTTGCAGGTGTATTGCAGAATAGTTATTGTACTGTATATAAAGAGATATTTATCAAATCGAGGAGTAAATTTCTAGTATATTTTTAGTCGGAATTGATTTTTTCATTGTATTGTTTGCGTATAGTTTATGCAAAGTCAGAACTCATACGCAAAAATCTATCTGTATTCACACATTGTACTCGAAAATGAAAAATTCAATTCACATATAAAAATTGGGGTGATTTTTCCTTCACCTCCCCCAGATTCAACCGCCACTGAATCACTTTATGGAATAATTTTGATAACATCTGATAGAGCGTAAAAAGTTTAGTATCTGTGAGAAATTTTGTTGATTTATCTCAAATCGTTTCGAACTCTTCATCAAAAAGCAATATTCAGAATCATATTTTCAACACTCTATATCTCGAAAACGACGCGTTCAAGGGTATATGTTTATATGAACTTTTTCCATTATCTCAAAGAGTACAACACACTGTTGAATTTTTTGTATTACAAATCGGACCACCCTATATATAGATATATACGAACTGGGCATTGTTAAAATATTATAATGTATGAATAATGGCCTGCAATGATCTCTGGATGATGCATCTGCCATAATTCTTATTCTCATGAATGTATGTATATTTTTTATTTTTCAGGTACCTATATTGAGGGTTAAGGAAGATGTAGTTAGCTACGCAAAATTCAAATGGCCATTATTGTTCTCTAGATTTTATGAGGCATACAGAAATTCAGGACCCAACCTTCCGAAAAACGATGTCATAATTGCCGTTAACTGGACAGGGGTCTATGTGGTAGATGATCAAGAACAAGTCTTACTAGAATTATCATTTCCTGAGATAACTACAGTTTCCAGTCAAAAAACCAATAAGGTTTTCACGCAGACCTTCACTTTGAATACAGTGAGAGGGGAAGAATTCACCTTCCAGAGTCCTAATGCAGAGGACATTCGAGATTTGGTTGTATATTTCTTGGAGGGTTTGAAGAAGAGATCGAAGTTTGTGATTGCACTTCAAGATTACAAGGCTCCCGGGGAAGGATCTAGTTTTCTCACATTCTTGAAAGGAGATCTGATAATTTTAGAAGAAGATAGTACCGGGGAAACGGTTCTCAACTCTGGTTGGTGTGTGGGACGTTGTGAAAGGAGCCAAGAAAAGGGAGATTTTCCAGCAGAGACCGTGTATGTGCTGCCATGTATGTCAAAACCTCCGACAGAAATACTGCAGCTGTTTTCTGTAGAAGGTGAGCGATTCATAATTTTATTATTGGAATAATTCCGTTTGACAACAAAATTTGTATATTGCATCTTCAAACATGGAGACCAACTCTTAAAAGTAGGAATTTGTGCATAGTTCAGATACACATTGAACATTTTTCGGGTGTATAATTTCAATCGAGTGGATTTCAGAAATAACTCCGATTGAATCAACACTTGATTAGCAATATTATATCAATATTATTAGAGATATAATACCGTGTACAGTGGTGTCAATTCACACCTTCATAGTGAAAAATTACACGGATGTGGTAATTTAGAGGAGTTCTGAAATATCCATTCAAAAGCAACACCAAAAGGATGAAAAGTAATTACTTTCGATAGTGGTATTATTCAAGTTAACGCAAAATACACTCATTATATGGAATTAACACTTAGTTACACCCTGCCCATCACGAATAATCTAAACCGTGAATGAATCATGGGATTTGGGGCTAATATAATTTACTCATCGTCTTGCATTCTCCTATGTGAATGAATAATATTGCTGATGTTGAAATAACCCCCTGAAAAACCTAAACTCATTGAAGAATGAATAAAAATAGTGATCGAAGGTTTATCATCTCCCACGAATTCGAGTATCCAGCTTGCTAGGTGACAATAAGAACGGATGATTTCGAGAAAATGGTGCAATAAATGAATTTTGAGTTGATTCATCAATTAGATATGATGATTTCGAGATTGCGAAGCTATGGAGTAGTTATATCGAACCAGATTGAAACATAAAAATGAATATCAATGCATAAATTTTGTGCACAGAAAAATAGTAAGTAAATAGATTGATAGATGGCGACATTATAACGCTTCTGCGACGCTCATCTCTCGACAGCCTTCAAATAGTATCAGCTCAGAGATGTTTTGTAATATTGTAAGGTCTCACTACAGTCGTTGATTGATATATTACGCTTACGCTATATTACGCTTATGCGCTTGAGCGTAATATATCAATCAACGCTACAGTGGATCATTTCACGCACTGAATACTAATGTCGCTACGCCGGCTATGAACTATCAGCCGCGGCAGTCATACTACTTTTCTGCCTAGTAAAACAAATAACTATTTCACATCAGAAAAATATCCGAAAAATATTCGCATATCATATATTATCAGTAGTAGTATACTTATTACGTAATATCTGTTGTAAAAAGCATATTACGCACGAATATAAGTTCGGACAAACAGTCTGAATTATAATTCTTGACAGTTATGTCATCCGCTGTCGACGGCGATTACGCAATCATGACATACCTATACTGGCGGAATAAACTAAAACTATGCGATGTGCTTACTCTGCGTAAAGAGCTTCTTACTGAGGCTGTATCTAGAGGGTTCTTGCCTACTTTCTATAGTGGAAGTAGGTAAAAGCAAAAACGCAACAGTTACAGTGTCAAAATAATCACCAAATGATTGAATAGTACACCACTTTGGTGTTGAATAACACGAACCGATCAAATTAGCACTAGGTGCTCTATATAGTGTAGTTCTTTACTGCATGTATGAACGAATGACACCCTATGATGGTGTTAAAAATATCATATAAAACCAAAGGGTGTTAGCTGGTGTGAACTGGTGTTATTTTTTTTCACTGTGTAAGAGCGGAACAACACGAGAAATTATCGGTGTTTGTCTAACAACTATACTACGAGACCAGCTGCTGCTCCGAATTTTACAGGGAATATGAATATATTTGGAAAAAATAATCATGCAAAAAATAGTCTTTTTGCAGAACAATTTGATTTCCGTAACTTGAAATACATTGGAATGAATTCATCAATTTAACTGAATAGGACTCAATATTTTGTCAAGGCGTTCGATCGTGTAGATCATGATATTTTATTATCGGCTACAATTCGTTGATTTTCTCGAGCATAGCTTATCAACATATTGTACCTTCAATACTCAACTACGTTTGTCATTCAATTATCAGACAGAAACGAAGTAATGGCCATTCGTTTTCAAACCTCACCAAATTGGTTATTGGTGAAAGGTGACATGTCCCGTGGACTATTCCTTGATGGAAGATCAAGGGATATACTCCACGGAAAATCTGAAGCTCAATACTTACAAAATGTGTTGTAGAAATATACCGAGTAGTTCAAATTCGAGTCCTACCATAAGGATCTCGGAAACTATAGGGGATACGAAGATGGTTAAATTAGGGCAGAGTTGCGCATTTATGTGTATAAAAATATGCCATTGAGAAAATTTTCAAATTCCGAGTATTTCCGGAGATACGAAAAAAACGAAATTTTGGTAAATCATTTTTATTTTTTTCTATCGTTATTCGTTGGAGAATATCAATCAAAATTGAGAGTACATTATTTATATAGCCTCTTTTTTCCTGCTATGATGATATTTTCTGAAAAAAGAGGCAATGTAAATGTACAATTAATTTCGATATTATCCAACGACTAAAGCCAGAAAAAATAATTATAAAATAATGAAAAAAAGTAATTTATGAAAAGTGATACATATTATAACGGGTCAACAGATGAAATTTCAAACTTTTCCCCGTCACAGAAAAAAATATTATTATATATATGCATATGTTTTATAGTGGCAGATCCTCAAAGGATTTGCCGACTAAGGTCTGCTTATATCAGGAGAAACATTAACATGGTTGCAAATCTCCAAATCAGTCTAGCAAGATCAAGGGTAACTTTCTTCTTTTGGAGCACACGAAAGAGAATTCTCATTATATTCGAGAAACATTGTATGCGTACTTAGGAGGTTAGGGAAAACAGATACCTTGGTATTTGATTTCTTCAACTTCTTGAGATTATGAGTTCTTGGAAATACTTTATTTGGCGAAGAATTCGCAAAAATAATTATTCAGATATCGAATGTAACGGTTTAGGAGAAGTTGATGCAAAATTTCAGGTTGACCAGTTTTTCATGCCGGTAAATTTATATAAATACCCAGTTATATTGTGAATCACATCTTAGTTTGGTGTACTATGCCATGAACTATTGACGGTACATATTATAGAAGCTGAACGAAAATCAATCAATCAATCAATTAAAACTAGTGTCAATCTGACACTGTCATCATAACGTACTATACACCGTGTCCCAGCTAAAATGTCCCAACTTGTAAAAAATCAACCGCGCGATCGAATGACTTGAAATTTGGTCACCCAGTATATATGTTGATGCTCACTCGAAATATGCTATTGGATGAATCGTAGGTATACAAGGTCACAGCGAAGTGCACCTTAACTGTCCTATTTGAATAGGGACACCCAGTATATTGTTCCATATTCCAGTAGAGTTCATTATTGCAAATTCAACAATGCCTGGTTTAATGGGATTTTTTCAAACGACTACGAAGATATGGTAAAGAATAAAACGATTCAATAAAAAATAAAACACGATTGAAATCTAATGTAAAGAAAATAATTAAAACCTGAACTACTCAATGTCGTCCATTCTGCTGTAAACATTTCATAGCTCTTTTGATAACGTTCATTGTGACCCTATGTATCACGTTGCGATCAATTTGTGCGCATAATTTTATGATTTTCTCTTTCATTTCTTCCATATTCACAATTGGCGACTCATAAACCTGTTGTTTTAAGTAGCCCCACAAATAAAAATTAAGTGGGGTGAGGTCTGGCGACCGAGCTGGCCAGTTGCTATCACCATCGAGACAATTGGTGGCTATTAGATTTTCTCCAAACCGATGTCGAACATAATCCTTTACGGGTCTGTAGTTATGTGCAGGACAGCCATCATTCGATTTCAATCGTGTATAAAATCTAATCATATGAATTTTTTATTGAATCGTTTTATTTTTTGCCATCTTCGTAGTCGTTCGAAAAAATCCAATAAGACCCGGCATCGTTGAATTTGTAATAATGAACTCTACTGGAATATGGAAGTAATATATACTGGGTGTGCTTATCCAAATAAGAAAGTTGAGGTGCACTTTGGTGTGACCCTGTATACCTACGATTTATTCAATAGCCTATCTCGAGTGAACATCATCAAATATAATGGGTGACAAAATTTCAAGTCATTCGATTGCGCGGTTGATTTTTCACAGGGGGGGGGACATTTCAGCTGGGACACGGTGTATATCGTGTAATTGCATTTGAATTTGAAAGTTTTGATAAGGTTCATTGGAATATAAGGATATGTCTCGGGATATGTACATACCTATGAGATGATTCGAATTCAAAAAGGAACTTTTTCTTCATTTTATAATATAGTGATGAAAGATTATGAAAGATACTGATTTACTGATGAAGTCACTATTATTTTATCTCTCATTGACAAAGGAATACCATAGTGATAGCATTAGTAATATAAATAAAAACAGAAAGTTTTTACATGCGTAGATGTAAAAACAGTCACTGTAATTTATAAGCTACAAAACAACATTAAAACATTAAAAATCATGTTGAAAAGGTAAAATTATGAAATCAAATAATTTTCAAAAACCTTCGACGCAGACCATAATATATGTGTGTTATCCATAGTTTTCAGATAGTCTGGTAGATGATTTTACATTTTGATACTGTTATTTATCATTTAGTCTTCAATAATGGTTGTTGATGTTGGTACTGGTAGTCTGAGATCATTATTGGATTTCCATGTGGCAGAGAAGAGAGGCTTGTTATGTTTATTTATTAATTAAACAAACATTTTTTATATCGAAAATTGCACATTGCTAGAACCCTGTTTGCAGCAAATAATAGCCTACATGAGTCCTATCTTCTAATCTTGCAAAGGTAACTGAGCGCCTTTTTTTGTAGAATAAAAACAAATTCTAATTGTGTTTCAGCACAATCTCCACAGAATGGAATTCTATAATATATCTCAATAAGTGTGACTCTCTTCAGTGGGTGATAAACATTTTTCGTAATTTGAACTCCTGACACCCTGAAGAAAGTTTATTATTCAGTGATGCAAAGTGATCTGCAAATTTCAATTGTTCATCTATACTTCCACCAAGATATAATAACCCTACTGCTGCTATGAGTTGACTTCTAGAACAATTTTTATCAACACTAAATAACTGGACTTTGTAAAATTCGTATTTTTGCCCTAAAAATTGAAAATTTATAGAAAGAGTGTTTCCAACATGGAGTTATAAATAAAATGAGTAATAGAAGACGCAAAAAACGAGTAAGGAAAAATCCTTTTGTCATAAAAAATATTTTGGAGAATATTGATAATTTCCTTGCAATTTATTATATTGTTTCATTCAACTTCTCCGGATGTGTGGATGTTGAAATTTCCGAGAGAAAATGAATGATAGTATTCAGAAAATTTGACAAAAGCCTAGGGGAGATTCGTTTCAACAAAATATGAGAAAAAGTTCCTATGAACATGGGTCCAGAAATGCCTCGTTTCCGAGATATATATAGGGTGTCCAACTTTAAAAAAATGAATTTTTCATTAATACAAATATTCCTCACAAAATTTGAAGATCATATACATTTTAGAGTGTAGTGATATTGTTGCACAACAAGCAACAATGCACTTTCGAAAATATCTTAGAAAACTACATCACATTGTGTGAAACAGCCCTGTTGTATAGATCTGACCTGAAAAATTAATGAAAATTTGCTGATTTCATTAGTATCTCTTGGGATGAGCAGGATCTGCTCCAGATTACTCAATTTTAGGTCAGCTGAGGATGGCAAAGTATTTGCCGAAATACGTATTCAGATGTTCTTAATTACCTTCATTCTTGTGGTACATAGGCAGATATCCAAATTTCTTCAATTGTTATTTTGTTTTCATTCTTATTTATCATATTCAAGGTACACTTTTACTTTACTTTTAGTACTCGACTATTGTTTGAACAATAAGAACCAACCAACTATAAATCATGGGATGGTAAATGTTAAGGTCGCCAGAAGAATGCCACTTGAATATGTAATTTCTATGAGGTCAATAGAGTATTATCCTCTTGCTTTCACAGATATTCACCAGCATCAGGAAGCACATCACGTTTATAAGTTCATTTTGTGAAAGTGTGTTAAGTGTGATTTTTATTTGCAGAATTTTATAGTTATTTGGAATTTGTTTTGGGAAAACTAGTGCAGTACCGAGTTGCTTGTTCGAGTGTTCAGATAAAAAATGTGGAGTGAATATATCTAGATGAACCCAACTCTTTGTTGTTATAATAATGATTATCATCAGACCATCATCGATACACCGGAATACAAAACACAGGAGTTCAGGTAGTGACAGTTTCATCTGATATACGATTTGATGAATATAAATATTATACAGGGTGACTCATTTTTTTTCGAGAAATTGATAGGCTAGATAAAAAATATTCTAGTTTATGTGTAAAATCATTAGCTCAATTCGATTAATACAGGGTGTCCGGAAAGGTCATGTCGTAAATGATAGATTGATAGAGTGACCCGAAACAGTATAGGTACTTCATATAAAAAAAGTCTATCGCACTTCGTTACTGACTTATTGACCTTGAAAGTTTGGATAAAAAAAATAAATTTCATGTATAACGTTTAAACGGTTGCCATGGTAAACTAAATTAACTCATACTAATGCTCCTTTCGATATGTAAACGGCTGGTTCTGTGATTATATTTCATACAAGATGGGACGAATTTTTTCCTGTTTAATAGGGGTATTTTTTCCAGAGTTGACAAATTTGACATTTTGCTTCCACCATTTGATTCCTTCATATTTTTCTACAAAAATAGTATACCGCATTTTAATCGATATTTTGTACCGTTCTAGAGAAAATTGAATTTTAAAAATATACATCCCAACCGTTTCAACGTGGATAAAAACTATATTACTTATTCAATAACATCATGATGGTATTTGCAATCATGGTCAAATTGATACTTGATATAGTAAGTATGCTATATGTATATATGGACTTGCAGAAACTATCAAGGTCAATAACTCTGTAACGAAGTGCGATAGACATTTTTTTATATGAAGTTCTTTAAAATTATTTTTTTTACAAACGTCAAAAAATGACAAGGTTCGCGCATTGATAATAAATTGCGAAGTGACACTTTTTTTCAGTTTCCTACGTTACCATGATACCTTGCACAAAACAATGCGCGAAGTAAAACAGTGTGCGAAGTAGCTACTTCTCGCATTGTTATGTAAAATATAAGATGATATTTATATTTCAACTTTATGGTCCTCCATCGAGCAAACATCCACAAAATCATTTATTTCTGAATGTTCAACACTAACTTTGTTTTATCTCTTGGAGCGCACGAAAGGAAATTCCCATTATGTTCGTGGAACATCGTGCGTACCTAGGGAGGATAGGGGGAGGCCTTTTAACCCAGTTCAACACTTTTTATTATATCAAGCTAAGCATATTTTTACTTTAAAACTATATTTTTTGACGTTTGTAGAAAAAATGTTGTTTGCAAGTCGAGCGCGAAATACTTTGGTCATCTCGATTATTTTTTCAACTCGGCTACGCCTCGTTAAAAAAATCAGATCTCGATTCTACTCGTAATGAAATATATTATTTGGCTCACTCTCTCTGCCCTCTATAATTCACGACATGATCTTTCCGGACAACCTGCATAAACACTGTGTTTGGAATGAACATAATTATAATTATGGAGTATTTTTAGTCTACATTGATTAATATTTATCCTGTTCAATACCTACTCTAACGGTTTGATAAAGTTTCTCTTTATCATAAGGGCTTTTCGGCTCTTGGAAATATAACTACTATTTTGTTAATTTGTATACCAAGATTACCAAGAGTGAAATCTTCCTAATTACAATTGTTGGTTATACAGGGTGTCCCAGAATTGCTGGGACACAGAGCTACCACACCTGCTGCTATAGATTTGACGAATTCTGTTGAAATAAAATAGCTTGCCTAACTTATACTCACAATTATTGCTATTTTGATTTCCTCACGTCAAATAAACCCTAACTGCATATTGGATTGACTTTCATTCCAATATGTGAAGTCTCTTTCATATTACCTCGTATAAGCCTCATGAGGATAAGTATCTTCATTAGTATGAGAAACATTTTATCGAATCTATGGCAATTCTGCAGTTTCTTTCATATTTCCTCGTATAAGCCTCATGAAAAGTTACTGTATTTATACATTTCACAATTTTCGACAATGACCGACACTATATTTCTTTTTCGGAATTGCGATTTTCATCACGTCAAAACATATTCTTCTTCATCCCGGGACAATCTGGACATATTTTTTGTCGCATCTTGTATATCGATCGTCAAGAATGAATATACATGTCATACTTCTGAATCTACAATCGTAATTTTTTCGAATTTTAGAAATTCATCTTAACGAAAATGCATCATATTGACTAAAAATACGTACCTTCATTATATGACCTTCGATACGAGAAATTACAAAACCATTTCGAGATCAGAAGTAACACTCCATTATTCCACTAGTAACACAGAGAAAATTATGTTTCATCTAATGAAGACTACGTTATTCTCCATTCCATCATTCAATATTCATCCATTCAATTATCACCCTGTAGCAATGTTATCTGAAAAATCAGAAGTTTCATATTGCCACAACAAACTCTCAAGAGATTAGGCTAATCATCGGTGAAAACCGATTTCAAATTGGTAAGGAAATTCGTGAGTTATTCTACTTTGAATTCAGGCTTCATTTTGGACCACGACGTTATCAATGTTGACCAGTTTATTTCACATTTCAACCTTTTGACGCCCTATATTTGCAACATATCATATTTGTTAAGCGACTGGCCCCCTTTAGGCAGACTTTCTATATAGGTAGTATTGAGGAATTGTTGAAAATCTTCCAGGTGCAGAACATGGCCGTCGTCTCAGTCAACAGTACTCCGTGAATGGGACAGAACCGCGAGATCGTCCACACACCCTAGCAGATTATGCCATAGACCATTTCCGTCCGCCAATCAAGCGAACCATATCGAAAGCCCTAACCCTATCCAATCGTAGGATAGTAGATGATCTGTGGAGACATTCCAGAGACCCCATCAAGCAGCCTCTCCTGAAGAAGTTATTGATGAAGGAAGAACTCGCCGAGGAAGCGTGTTTCGCCTTCAGCGCCATATTGAAGTACATGGGCGATCTGCCGTCCAAGAGACCTAGAGTAGGAAACGAATATACCGATCATATTTTTGACGGACCCTTGAAACATGAGATACTTAGAGACGAAATATATTGTCAGACTATGAAGCAGTTGACAGACAACAGAAACAGGTAAAGAAAGCTTCTAAAGTATTCTCCTTCCCCTGTTAACATTCCAACTAGAGAAGAGAAAAATTAGAAAACAAAACAGAATCAATGACATGGTAGGTACTGAATTGATCAGCTGCACAAATTCACTTCATTTCAAGCGACCATTTTTCTCGTGTGTAGCGAATATGTTGAATTTTTTGTATTTGCGATGGCTTCAGCCTAACTGATGTGATTTTTCGGAAGTGATTATTTTTTATCATTTTCCGTTATATTATGAAATATTCAAATTTTACAAATATTACATCCCAGGGACGTACCAGGACATCCCTTGGATGCCTTTTTTGGCGGCCAGCGGATGTCCCTGGGACGTCCCTAGTATTTACTTTGTCCCGAGAAAAGATATCCCTGGGATGTCCTAGTATAAAATTAGGGACGTCCCTGGGAAGCCCCTAGGATGTACTTGTGTTGTTAGGGTTGTTATGTTGAAGTGAAGTTTTGGAGACTGCGTGGTTTAATAATCAGAATCGCCTTTTTGTATTTTAAATTCAAGGTTACAAAGAAAAACGTTACTTGAAATTTCAAATCGATGAACTGGAAAAATTTACAGGGTGCCATTTGAAATAAGAAAGTTAGTGTTGACTCCCAATTTCATTTGTGTCAAATGGATGATTCTTCACTAATCGTGAATCATTTTCTGATATAACTATAATGAGATACCTATACCCACCTATGTCTTTGTAACAAGTGGGTATAGGTACCTTTTCACCTGATATACAGGGTGTTTGGTTCACCGACGTATATACGTAAGGAGGTGGTAGGTTAGGTGATTTTGAACAAATTTGATCTTATACAGTGTCATTCATAAAGTCGGCATCATATGGGAAAAACTTCCAATTATGATTAATTTTGAAATTCGACTAGGGCGTTTTTGCTCCAGTTTTGCTCCAAAAGAGATGAAAAATAGCCTACATTGAAAGTACTGTATCGTTTACCATATGATACACCAACAAATCAATTATATAAAATAACTGAATCATTCTCATTAGAAGAAATGTTCAAAATCGAAAGACTGAAAATTACATACAATATCATAAATAAAAGATTGAAATCTAATTTTATTTTAACACGAAACAATGAAATTCATAATTATCAAACTAGACAACATGGTTTATTTCATCTTGATATCGCTAATACTTCTATATGCCAAAAAAGATTCACCCACGCTGCTCTCTTGGAATATAACAAACTACCAGATAATATAAAAAATTGCAGAAATACAATAAAATTCAAATACCATCTTAAAAAATTTATCATTTCTGAACGAAATAGATGACTTTTTTTTTTTAACTTTTGATTCATATTCAAATTGATTTTTGCTCACCAGTATGAAATGATTTGTCAAAATTTAATAATTAATGTTTTCAAATATTTTATTATTCATCAGTTTATTATAATTGTATAGTTTTAGGTATTATTGTTAACTATACTTCCTTATACCAGAACTTGATTCTGACTGGAAGTAACATTTTCAATAAATAAAAAAAAAAAATAACATGTCAAATTTTTTTCTAATAATTGTAGCTTCGACAAAACTGTACTGTCTGTACTAAACTTTGGTGAGATACGTAAAGTAGCTTGATGATAATTTTGATAGGTGACCTTGGCATCATTTTAGTACTGGACAGAAATTTGAAGCAGAAATTAGTATTTTCTGAAGAAAATCATATTTTTGTCGATAATTAGTGATTGAAAGTTAGTAGCATGATGAAGCTACTAGAATGAAATAGACATTTCGGAGAAAAGGAGAAGATATCAAAAACTGAAAGTTGTTATGGAACGTTCGAATTCGAGACACATTTATGTAAAATCGGAATAGAAACACTTTTTCTTTGTTAAAGTTTTTGAAATTCAAACAAAGAAGCCTATTTTCAGCGATTAATTTGAAAAAATGTAACGTTTGACAAGTAGCAGCGAAAGTCACGTGACCGCAAACGAATAGTTCATTTTTCATATTTTTTATAGCAAAACTTAACGAACAAAACGTATTTTCAAATAAATTATTATTAAAACTATTTCCAATATGATGCCGACTTTATGAATGACACTGTTATACTATTATACAGTGTTGCACTTTTCGAGAAATCATAGCTTATAAATTCAAAATTGTTTGTTACAAAAATCGTTTTTTGAATTCTATCGAGCCAAAAAATTTTTTCATCATATTAGATCCCATTTCGTGTTCAGTATCGATGAAATGCGCGTATTCAACTTTCTAAGAAAAAAGAGATTTAATCAGATAAAATGTTTGAAACACTATATGGTAAAATATGTTCGAAATGTTCTCAACTATCACCCCCTTCCAGATATACCCTGTAAATGCGTTTGACATATTTATGTCAATCAATTTTAGTAGACTTATTTGAATGAACTTCAAATTCATCACCATCATACAGGGTGTACCCTTTGAAAATAAACCAATTTGTGAATGTATATACACCGTTATTGTTATACCTTTGATGAGAATTTTATCAATGTGTCTTCCATAATGAAAGATTTTGATTGAAGAAAACGTCCTATATTGATACATTATGATTTTTTGTCATGAAGGTTATCTGAAGAGAGAGGCTGGGAGCTCATGTGGCTGGCAACAGGTCTGTTCAGTTGTTCTCAAAGTTTGCTCAAAGAACTCACAATGTTCCTACGGAGTAGAAGACATCCGATATCGCAAGATTCCTTGCAACGGTTGCAGAAGACACTGAGAAATGGCCAGAGAAAATACCCTCCCCATCAGGTGGAAGTTGAAGCAATCCAACATAAGACGACGCAAATATTCCACAAGGTTTACTTTCCGGACGACACGGACGAGGCTTTCGAAGTGGACTCGAGCACCAGAGCCAAAGATTTTTGTCAGAATATCAGCCAAAGGCTGGGACTGAGATCCAGCGAGGGATTTAGTTTGTTCGTTAAAATAGCAGATAAGGTACGGTTTTGCACAACAAATTGCGGTACTTAATATAAAGTCAATACAGTGTGTCCCACTTACCATGCTCACCATGGGTATCTTTTTAACGGTGAGAGATACGAGGTCGATTAAATGACACCAAATGTGGAGTTTGTCAAGGCCAACTATAATGTGAAAAAATATTTTGATAAAATCTATTCGTTTTTGTTTTATACGCAAAAAACAGATTTTGATCATTTTCATGTCTCCTCCGTAACTTCTTTATTTATGAAAATATTCAAATAGGAATTCAACATTCTCATGGCAGTTTTTCAAAGTGATTTCGAAAAAAATATGAAATTTATACCAACTCTTCTAGAATTTGAGATATCAGCACCAACTTCAGTTTTTCGAATGTAGGTCATAGCTCACTATGACTTACTTACAAATAACTTTTTTTGTCTTACAGATGATATGTCGCAGTAATATTTTTGTGTTGATTACAACGGAGTTATCGTCATTTATACAAAAACAAAAAAATTATTTTGAAGCCGCCATCTTGAATTTATAAATTTTAACAAAAAAATCATGATCTCCGACCTCAAAAATCCCCACTTACCAATTTTGAATGGAATCGGACCAAATCTTGGAGCAGCCATTTTTTTTAATTTCAACAAAAATTCCATAATGTATTGTGGACAAGATTTGGTCCGATTCCATTCAAAATTGGTAAGTGGGGGTTTTTGAGGTCGGAGATCATAATTTTTTTGTTAGAATTTATAAATTCAAGATGGCGGCTTCCAAATAATTTTTTGTTTTTGTATAAATGACGATAACTCCGTTGTTATCACTGCGACATATCATCTGGAAGAGAAAAAAAAGTTATTTGTGACTAAGTCATAGTGAGCTAAGACCTACATATGAAAAACTAAAGTTGGTGCTGATATCTCAAATTTTAGAAGAGTTGGTATAAATTTTATATTTTTTTCGAAATCACTTTGAAAAACTGCCATGAAAATGTGAAATTTGTATTTGAATATTTTCATAAATTAAGAAGTTACGGAGGAGACAAGAAAATGATCAAAATCTGTTTTTTGCGTATAAAACAGAAACGAATAGATTTCATCAAAATATTTTTTCACATTATAGTTGGCCGTGACAAACTCCACCTTTGGTGTCATTTAACCGACCTCGTATCTCTCACCGTTAAAAAGATACCCATGGTGAGCATGGTAAGTGGGACACACTGTATAATAGACATAATGAACACTCTTTTAAATTATGTTACCATTTGCGTGTGCTTCATCATTTCAGTTTTTAATGTCATTAGACGTCACCTGTTGGTACCGCAAACCCTAGTAGAGCCTCTGTATGTAAATATGTTTTGTTCAATTTTCGAGGTGTAATTTCTCGTTAATTTAAAATTTAGGGACAATCGAATATTTTATGTATTCATTTCTATGACACCCTGTCATAATAGTATATCACGTAATATGTGTTGTAAGAAGCATATTATGCACGAATGGAAAAGTTACGCAGCCGCGGAGCGGCGAGTGCGTAGTTAATTCCATGAGTGCGTAGTTAATTCCATGAGTGCGTAATTTCTTTACAACACGCATTACGTACTATACTTTACCTACTGCCATATTGTACATCTAAAAAGTTCGGACAAACAGTCTGAATTATAATTCTTGACAGTTATGTCATCCGCTGTTGACGGCGATTACGCGATCATGACATACCTATACTGGCGGAATTAACGAAAACTGTGCGATGTGCTTACTGTGCGTGAAGAGCTACTTACTGAGGCTGTATCTCGTGTGTTCTTGCCAACTTTCCATAGTGGCCATAGGTAAATAATTTTTTCTACGGCAATAACACAACATTGCTCTTGTTTTACTGTGTTCGATACATCAATGAGGTACTTTGTATGTCATCAATATTATATCTGATACCACAATGACTCCATTATTTCAAAAAAATCTCATCGCTCATGGAATGTCAAATGTGAAGCAATGACAGCTCTGTCTTATAGATAAGCATTACTTGACAGGAAATCAGATGGCTACAAGACGAATAAATCGAAAATGCCGCTGTTATCTATATTATAGCCGTAGAAAAATTATAGTGTAAACTTGCACGGAATGCTAATATCTTTCTCGTAGGAAATCACTATAATTCCGTGCTCGTGCTCGTTAAACAATAATTATACTATTATAGACTTGGAAATACCTGCAAGTCAAAACTGACGTGTCCAACAGTAATGACAATTTGAAACTAATTTCATTGTTTAAAGACATTCTGTTCCCTCAGGATATTTCATTCCACTTGGTTTACTATAACTATGAATATTGACAAGTCAATTTCTTGGAGGGTATTGCATAGACTTATAACCTATAGCGGAATAGAGTACAATTTTGTGCACGGAATTTGGCGGGAAAATATATAAATTATGCTAGGAAATGAATGAGTATATAGCATAAAGATCAGGTGCAAAAATAAAAACCAGTCAAATTAACTAAAATCTGTCTACATCCAATATGGCATCCATGCGGAAAATGGAAGTTTATGCTTGTATCTGGAAAATTTTACATTCTTGAAAGAACTAGGAGCTCAGGATCTCAAACTTGACTTTTCTATTTACTCAAGTGGATATGAGATATGTAACGAAAACGAAAATACGAAACCAATCGCAATATACAGTATGGTGGAAATGTATGGAATAAATTCATTATCTCTAACGCATATGAATTGAAAAAAAGTCCTGAGGCAGGTCGATTTTTATTATCAAATTGACACCTCTTGATGTACATAAGGAGTTTGTAACGTCATCCGCAGGAACGAATAGTAAAAATGAACCACAAAAATACAAAACAAATAAAAAAAGTAAAGGTTAGAAACAAACTGTTATGACAGAGGTATATAAAAAATTGAATTTCATCTGAATCAGATGAGGTATTGTCTTTTTTTGGTTTATACATATCATTATCATGATCAGGTTCTTCTTAGACTGAATGATATCATAAGCAACATACATGGATATCAAGACACTCAACAACTATATGATGAACTCAAAACTGCCTTTCAAGATAGTTTCTCTGTGAAGGTTTTCAAGAACAAAAAGATAGGCAATGCGCCATGGATGAATGCTAAGATATTGGAGATGATGAACAAGAGGGATAAATGTTATAAACAAACCTGCAAGTACCCAAATAGTGTCCTACACCACAATCAGTACATACATCATAAGAAACAAGTTACCAGAGAAGTCATCAAACTGAAAAAATCTCACTTCTACCAACAAATTCAACAAGCTGGTAACGACACAAAAAGAACGTGGGCAGTTCTGAACACAGCACTGTTTAATAAAAATAAAAACAAAAACCCTAGTATCTCAACTTTAAAGCAGGGCCATGACACTTCATCAGATCCCAGAGAGATTGCAAATATACTCAATGACTTTTTCATCAATGTAGGTCCTGAGCTCTCAAATGCACTACCTCCAACCCCATTCATACCAGAAGAACATAACTGGGCAGAATCCATCTTTCTCTACCCCACTACACCTGAGGAAATCAAAGACATTATAAATAATCTTGACCCAAATAAAGCAAGTGGCTTCGACAATATCACAGTGAAACATATTAAACACTTCAAGGAAGAATGCTCCATTATTTTATGTAAACTGTTCAACATGACATTTGATAATGGCTATCTACCAACAGATTTGAAAATGGGGAAAGTGAGTGCAATCTTCAAGAATGGTGACCCTGAACAACCTTCAAATTATAGACCTATCACAGTATTAACAGTGTTCGCTAGATTACTGGAATCCTGCATGAACAAACGCCTAACAAAATTCCTGGACCAAAAGAACTTTTTATATGAAGGCCAATATGGCTTTCGTAAGTCAAGTGACACAGAAATTGCGGCAATTGACTTAATATCAGATATCCAAATGAAGATTGATGAAGGCTATGTGTGTGCCATGGTGTCGCTTGACCTACGAAAGGCATTTGATACTGTTGATCACCCCATACTGTTGACTAAACTAGAAAACCTTGGGGTTAGAGGAAAGGCTTTGGATTGGTTCTGTAATTACTTATCAGGTAGGGAGCAATTTGTGACAGTCGATAATTTTCGTAGTAACACACGATCAATTTGTTGTGGTGTCCCACAAGGTTCCATTCTTGGCCCTACCTTATTTCTGATATATATCAACGCTTTCAGTAAAATACATCTTGAAGGAACAGTGAAGCTGTATGCTGACGATACCACATTAGTATATCATTCAAAAAGTAAAGAATCAATTCATCTCTCAATTGCAAATGATCTAGCAGCTATTCAAAATATGTTGAACTCTCACAAGCTCACCCTCAACATTGATAAATCTAGTTATATCTATATTAGTAAGTCACGAAGCAAGGAAGTCAACCCAATCGATTTTGGCAATTCTCAGTTGATGTATAATCACACAGTAAAATATCTTGGTCTTCTGATAGATGAAACACTATCATTCAATGCACATGTCTTAGCACTAAGAAAAAAAATCTCACCGTTTATAGGAGTATTATACAAAATAAAGCAGTACTTCTCAGTATCTCACTGCAAGCTACTATATTTTTCCCATATCTATTCTAGAATACAATATCTAGCTTCAATATGGGGCTCTACTGGAAGTGGAATATTGAATCCCTTGAAAATTTTACAAAACAGGGCCATAAAAAATATCTACTCCCTACCTCGCCTAACTCCAACCACTGAACTTTACTCTCCAAGAGGTTTTCTCTCAGTAGACAATATCTACTACTTCAAAACCAGCATCTACATTCATGCAATATTAAATAAAAGTAAACACACGATCACACTATTTAGATCAACTCAAGATGTTCATGCACACTCTACAAGAAACTGTACAAATATTTACATCCCATCCATCAGATCCAAATATGGAATGAACTCCATCCATTATAAAGGTATAAAATATTATAATGAATTGCCAGGACAAATAAAAAATCTCCCCTTTCATAAATTCCGAACGGAATTGAAAAAACTGATTTTAGGTAAATAAATAAATAAAAACCAACACTTTCATTCTAATTTCTTTTCTTATTGTTCACTATTATTAATACATATAAGTTATGGGTACTCTAATTCATATGTCTTCATCTTGTGCAATCCATGTACTACTTAGCCTGTGTACTATAGTATGTATAATTATCATGTATATTCAACTGTTTTTTGTTTTTTGTTATTATTATTATTGTTATTGCTATCATCATTATTATTATTATTATTACTAGCACTCTTCAGCTTTCTTTCTTTGTTCTTAGCATAGAAATGTATATTTTTTTCTAATTAGAACAAATAAAACACTTGAAAATAAAAAAAAAAAAAAATAAAAATAAAAAAATTAGTACCTATATATGTACCCGGTGAACAACTAAGAACGGCTGTCATATCTATCATTCTTCCAACTTTGATAGTTAATATCTTCCGTTACATTGTCTAATGATATGCATACCGTTAAATTTATTCTATCTCAAACTTGTATCATTATTCGTTGCTGAGATATAGCCGACAGCCGTTCTTAGTTGTTCACCCTGTACATTCATTACTTATTTTGTAAAATTGATTTAAACAGAGCGTGCCGAAATATCATGCAATTTATAAGTGTATGTGATTAACTAAAGATTAGTAATAATATAGGTAATTATAATAATGAATGAGTGTCAAAATATTTTTCAGTAGATTATTGAATTTTTAGATCAGTAAATCAACATGCAAATCAGGAGATCTACTGAAAATTCAGTAGAACTGGCAACCCTGCAACGGACGAAAAGTGTTTGCGGACGAAAAGTTACTGTCTGCGGACGAAAAGTACTAGCCCTCGGAAATAGTCGGTTTTTCGTTCGGAAATTAGAACGTAAAATGTGTTTTTTGTAGAGGTCGACGAAAAAAGTTATATTTAAAATATGAAGGGGGTGTCAATTTCTACCCTTATATGACGATAGGAAATTATTCAAATAATCGTCTAGTCACTAGTGTTTATGTAATTCTCCTACATTTTTGCAAGTTAAAAATATTGAATAAATACCGCACCTCGTCAGGAGGAGACATCTCGATAACAAAGTTTTGAGACCACCCAAATATTCTACAATAAACCGCCCTTTTGATTTATTCGAGTTACTTATTCATTTGCAAAATATTTATTCTGAATTGTAGGTTATTTCTGTGCCAGAAGGAGACTTCTTCTTCGACTTCGTCAGACACCTAACGGACTGGATCCGTAAAGCCAGGCCGACCAGGGACGGCATTACTCCCCAATTCTCATATCAAGTGTTTTTCATGAAGAAACTATGGACCAATACTGTTCCCGGCAAAGACAAGAATGCAGACCTCATCTTCCATTTCCATCAAGAATTGCCGAAACTCATCAGGGGTTATCACAAGAGCAGCAAAGATGAATCCGCCAAGTTGGCAGCCTTAATCTATAGAGTTCGTTTTGGCGAGAGTAAACAGGAGCTGCAAGCCATTCCGTAAGTATTTTGTTTTGTTGATAGTATGTGAAGCATTGCTGGATTTAGGGGAGGGCATCCAGGGCTACAGCCACAAGGCCTCCACAAAAAAGGACCCCCACAATAGAGAAAAAAAATCTTTCGACTTTCGACGAGTTAACACCAGTGAACAACTTTTCCTTCAATATTTTTTATGAAAAAGTTAAGTTCGTTGTTTTACCCTCAGTACTTTGTAGAAAAATCATTTTTAAATATTGAAATATATATTTACGATACAAGTATCGTAAAGACTCATATGAGATGGGAAATTTGTCAAACGATACGAATATAGTACAATATTTTACCTACTACCAAAAAGCTAATTATTTAATCAAAAATATTCAATATTCCTTGAACTGACGATTCATTAGGAATATGTAACAAGCAAGCGTTGCAAAGGTTGGGCGTATGGTTGTCGTGAATCTATTATTTTCTCGGTTGTCACTCGTTTGGTGAACTGTCAACTTTGACGCGTTAATTTCAATTCGAAGAAAAATTCATCGGCATGAATTTGGATCATCAAAGTTTAGATTCCGATATAGGAATTGCGGCGAATGCAGTATCCAAACTTTAGTACCTGCTAAATCCCGGGATAGGTACTGTAAAATACTGATTTCAATGTATTTTTTATCAAGAAAATATGTGACTGACTTTTCCTTCTTTATTTTCAATCAACTTGACATTAATTCTCTTTTTATAACAAATTCAACTTTTTCTTCCGCTAACTATCATGACGATAATACAGTGTGAACTACAATAGCATTTCAAAATAACAATACTGCGACATTCTCCCCACCGTGAAATCTTCAATTTTCACCCTGTAGATCTATTCGGCACAATTTGGTAACTGGACGACGATATACACCGTTTTTCGTTTTGACCTCGACGACTCGTACTATTCCATCATTACCAGGGAACAACTTTTCAATTTTTCCTAGGGGCCATGACTTTCGAGGAAGATTTCCATCGCAGATTACAACAATATCTCCAACTTCGATAGATTTTCCATCTTCTATCCATTTTCCTCTTCTGGAAATACTCGGCAAGTATTCTTTGATCCATCTAGACCAAAATTTTTCAGCCAAACTCTGGGATTTCTGCCACTGGCTTCTCAAATTTGGGTCTACAAATTTATCCAGGAACGGACTTCGACTTTCAGAACAAGAACTGATGAGAAGATGATTTGGAGTTAGACAATGTGGATCTTCTGGATCGGTCGAAACATGAGTGAGAGGTCTGCTGTTAACAATATATTCCGCTTCCAAAAACAGAGTATGTAGAACTTCTTCCTTCGGAGCTTCCTCTTTGAGTGTTACTTGCAATATTTTCTTCACGGATCTGATCAAGCGTTCCCAACATCCTCCCATGTGGGGACTTCCAGGTGGAATGAAATGCCACGCTATTTCCATCTCAGATAATCGAGAGACGAGTTCGGTTTCATTGGAGTTTTCATAAAATTTCAGTAACTCTTCACTTGCACCCCTGAAGTTAGTACCATTATCAGAGTACATATGTTGAATAGGCCCTCTTCGTGCTACCATTCTCCTTATTGCCATTATGGTACTATCCGTTGTGAGGGAATTTGCGATTTCCAGGTGAATTGCTCTCACAGACATGCAGGTGAATAGGACTCCCCACCGTTTTTCTCTGCGTCTTCCGATGGTTACATAAACTGGTCCAAAATAGTCAATTCCTGTATGGGTGAACGGTTTCAATCCAGGTGTTAACCTCATGATAGGCAGTTCTCCCATTTTAGGATTGTCTGGAACAGCTCTCCTTTTTCGGCAATAATTACAGTTGCTGAAGGTTTTTTTCACGGCACTTCTTCCCTTGATTATCCAGTATTTTCTTCTCACTTCATTCAAAATTTGGTTCTCTCCTTGATGTTTGAATTTTTCATGATAATGTCTCAAGAGAAGTTGCGTTATTCGATGTTTCGGGTCCAGAATAATCGGTTTTTTCACTGTATCTTCCAGACATAATGCTTTATTTACTCTGCTATGCATTTTCAAGAGATTATCTTCGTCTAAGAATGGTGACAGTTTGATGATCTTACTGTTTCTATCAATCAGCCTCTTCCTCGTCAATTCATTTATTTCATCCTGAAAACTATCAGCTTGACTGCTTCTGAGACATATTTTCTCGGCTTCCCCTACTTCTTCAATAGTCAATTCGTTTGGAAAGATTGTGCCCTGTTTTCTCACTTTATCTAACCACTTCTTGGCAAATCTGAGGGACCAAGCAGTGGCTCTGACAAACCTTTTCCATTTGGAGAAACGAGTAACCTCTGGCAGTATTTCAGAAACGAGTTTGATCACTCCGACAAAATTTGTAGTTGCTTTTCTTTCCTGGGTTTCCTCCAACTGAAAATTTTGTAATATGTCATTAGCTGGCCATTTACTTTCTGGTTGATATAAAAAATCTGGGCCAGAGAACCATTTATCATCAATATTCCAATTACCTTGACATCTGGTGGCCGAGTCAGCAATATTTAAAACAGACGGTACATATCTCCACTGATCCACAAGAGTTGATTCCTGAATTTCACCTACCCTGTGAGCCACGAACTGTTTATAACTCTTTCCATCACCTCTGATCCAATGTAACACGGTTTTGGAATCAGACCATAAATAAGATTTCGTTATTGGGATATCAATTTCAGTTAAGACAGTTTTCAATAATCTACATCCCATCACAGCAGCCTGCAGTTCCAATCTCGGAATGGATATAGGTTTCAACGGACTCACCCTAGCTCTAGCTGTGATGAATGATACATTTACGTTGCTATCTGTCACAATTCTCAGATACGCCACTGCTGCAAATGCTTCTTCACTTGCATCTCCAAAAATATGTACTTCTAGTAATTTAAAATGAGGTAATGCAGGTGAATAACAGCGAGGTATATGTAGAGAAGGGATTTTCTTCACACTTTCTAACCATCTCAACCAATCATTATGAATATTATCAGGGATTGTATCATCCCATATGATCCCACTTCTCCAAATTTGTTGAAGAATTATACGTCCCTTGATAATGAGCCACGTTAAAAAACCCAATGGATCAAAAATGGACATGACTAATTTAAGAACTTGCCTCTTTGTTGGTTTTTCAATACTATTCACTATATTTTCAGCGACTTTAGGAAAAATTAATTCAAAAGTGAAATGATCAGACTTTGTATCCCACCAAATTCCTAACACCCTGTCCGTTGAACTCTTATTTAAATCTTTTTGAAGTGCTCCATTTTTATTTCTTTCAGTTACAAGATGAGAATTGGATATCCAGTTAACAATATTGAATCCACCTTCCTTGTGTAGCTCAACAATTTCCTGAATCTTATTGCATGCATCTTCCTCATCCATACAAGAATCTAAGTAGTCATCCATATAAAAATTTCGTTCAACGTCTTTAACTAAATGATGAAACTTCCTAGACCTCTTGGCATTCAATCGGGTGACGAACTGTGCAGAACACGGAGAACACGCTGCACCGAAAATCATGACCTGCATTTCAAATATATCTACTGCATTGTTCTGGATACCATAGCGCCAAAGAAATCTTTGTGAACATCTGTCGTCTTTCCTTATCATCACTTGATGGAACATTTCTGCGATATCACCGCAGAATCCAAACCTATAACGACGAAATCGCATGAGAACTCCTGGTAGAGAATTCAAGAAGTCTGGACCCTGCAAAAGATTGTCGTTGAGACTGGTTCCATGACTCTTGGCTGCGGCATCGAAGACTAGTCGAAATTTCTTGGGTTTGTTAGGATTTATTACCCCAAAGTGAGGCAAATACCAAGTTCTCGGGGTCTCAATAGCTGCTTCAGCACTGCTCAATTTCCTAATGTACCCTTTTTCTAAATAATCTTCAATTTTAGAGCAATATTTTTCAAAATATAATTTATCTTTCAGCATTTTTCTCTCCACACATAACAAACGACTATATGCATTCGATTTACTTTCAGGGAGTGAGATGTTATCATATTTCCACAACAGACCTGTTTCATAACGACTTTTACTTTCTACAAATTTTGAAGTTGTTTCTAAAATTTCCATTGCCTTTTTTTCATCAGAATGTAACCTAACATTTTTCACAGAGACACCAAATGATTCTATGGAAAACGATTCATTTATCATTGTATTCAATTCAGCATCTCCACAATTGCAAACATGAAAATTGAAGGACTTTTGTTTTGTTCGCCCAGTATCAACATTTCCATGTAACACCCAGCCTAAATTTGTTTTCGTAGCAATTGGACCTTTATCATCATTGCCTTGAAAAACTTTTCTCGCAACAGTAAGATTGATATTGTCTTGACCAATCAGAATAGTGGGTCTAGCTTTGATCATATCCTGGATAGGTAGATTACACAAATGTGGATGCTGACTGAAGTCTTTCATTAAAATCGTCTGACAAGGCAATGACAAATTGTTGACAGTTCTTACATTTGTCATATTGAACGTTTTTGAATTTTCGTAGGTGCCAGAAATATGTAAATCAACCAATTTCGAATCATCATTATGCATTACTATATTATTGGCCCATTGCATACAAAAAGGTTCGTTTCTCCCAGGTAACTGTAAACGTTCTGCGATATCACTCTCTATCAACGAAATTGTTGAACCTTCGTCAAACAAAGCGTATGTATTCAAACAATTTTGAGGTCCAAATATCTTCACAGGAACAATTCGCAATAAAACATCAGAATCATTATTATCAGTAAGACAAACTCTTTGAATCACGGTTTTCTGGTCATTTTCATCATTATTTTCAGAAACCTCTACAGAATCTGCGGAACTTTTATGCAATAAATGGTGATGGGGTCGTTTACAGTTATCAATACCACAAAATATTCGCGATTTGCAAAACCTTTTTGAATGACCTGGTTTCAGACATTTAAAACAAACTTTCAGCTTTGTGATTTTCAACCATCGATCATCAACAGTGTCATTTTTCATAGAAGGGCAATTCGAAATTATATGGTTTTCTTCATTACAATAAGAACAGGTATTGCTTTCTAGATTTTCAGTAGCATGCATCACCATATTTCCCGAACGTTGATTGCCATTAAATTTTCTATAATCTTGTGTTCGATGATTGAACTTTCGTTCATGGTCAGTTAATGAAAATGTGGGAACACTTACATAGCAAGCAGCAGATGAAATTTCATTAGTCCATTTTCCAAAATCTTTCAAATTGGCTTTACCTTTTTCCGCCATCATTACTTGCCCCCATAGCAATTTCATTCCACTAGGAAGCTTTGTTACTAACTGCTCCAGGAGTGTAGGATTCGCCAAGTGATTGCCTGCCTCCAGCTGCTCCAATGTTGCTGCCAGGTTGTTCACGTTACATGAAAATTTAATAAAATTAGAAAAATCACCATCTTTTACTGCAGGAAAGTTCTGGATTTTGCTGATGAGACTTCTAATAATATACTCAGGACGACCAAACATCATTTCCAAAGTCTGAATGACCAAAGGTACATTACCTGGGTGTAACAATAAACTCCTCACTGCCTGTAGAGCTTCACCTTTCAAACATCTCTGTAGTTTCATCATTATTTCATCATTCGAGTAATGGAACATCGCAACTTTTCTATCATATTGATTCTTGAACAGAGGCCAATTTTCTGAATTTCCATCAAAAATGCAAAATTCTTGATCCAGTACTTGTTTTTTCTGAAGTGTAACGTGTTCTTGTGAAATTGAAACACTTTTGATAGCATCTGCTATTACATTACATAATTTTTCGATGTTGCCTGTATCAGAATTATCTTTATTGGAAGTAGAGGCATACTCACCACATGTTTCAACCCATTTTTGTGTATGAATATGTTTTTCCTCAGTATTCGTACTCACGAAATCAGCTTCCCTTTCTTCTGCACCTTCTGTAAACTGACTTCTTTCTCCCTGTTCGTCTAGTTCAGCTTCTGCCAGTTCCTTTTGCAGTTGTAAAATCTTCATTTCATTGTCTAACTCCAGTTTTCTTAACATCAGTTCTGCCTTAGCCTTTTCCGTTTCAAGCGCCAAACGTCTTCTTTCCGTTTCGATTCTCTTTGTTGACGACATCTTGGACACTGTAGATATCCTCTTGGAGATTATGGAAGGACCTGACTTCTTGGATGTGCATCTCGTTTCCCTAGAACGTGCCTCATCCCTATGTTCATGCTTCCTACCAGCTTCTTCTTGAGGTGTTACGATTACGGACTGTGACTGGGACAGCTCAGGAGTATTTTCCGTTTCTACTCTCGGTAGCTGGGGCTGGCGTAATGCCCATTCGAAATTTTGATCCAGATTTCCATTTACACCAGCGTTCGCTCTTCGAGATCTTCTCAATCTTTCTTCAGACATGTTATTCCGGGTTATTTCAATCAAATTTACTAAACAGACTGTCGATTAACCACGTTGTTTCTATTTAGCTCAAAGGACCATGTAAAATACTGATTTCAATGTATTTTTTATCAAGAAAATATGTGACTGACTTTTCCTTCTTTATTTTCAATCAACTTGACATTAATTCTCTTTTTATAACAAATTCAACTTTTTCTTCCGCTAACTATCATGACGATAATACAGTGTGAACTACAATAGCATTTCAAAATAACAATACTGCGACAGGTACAAAAATATTAGTAGATTGTTAGGATCAAAAGTGACACTTTGATCGACAAGCGAATTTTGCATTTGCAAGGCGGAGCGTTTAGCAATACCCCTAACTCTGATGAAATATTAACAGCTAATTCCATTTGGGTGGACCACCGACTTATTACTCTATCTAGACTGCTTGTAGTCATATAGTAGCAACCCGAAAATGTAGGGTCAGTTGCTCGCCTGGAAACGCTTCTGCTCTACACGCAAGAACCCCCATGCTGTCGTTCATCCATTTTGTTCATAGGCGGCGGCAAGGCTGATGGCGTACTCTCAAGTGTTTTATTCATGTCATTGGTCGGCTTCATTAAAATATAATATCAAATTAAGTGGTGATATTAACTTTTTCGTTTTATTTTCGCCAATCCTAGGAAATATGAAGTGGTTTGTGCTGTAAGAATTCCATGATTGATAATACTAAAGGTATTTGTTTTCATCGGTGAGTTTGTGGGTAATTTATAATTTATTATTTTAATTTGCTTTAATCAGTTGAGCAAGTATTTAGATCGAATGGAATCATGCCAGTTTTGTATAATCATTCAGCTGTGAAGAATTTGAGTTCAGGTGTGAGGTCTATCTATTTTGGATTAAAAGTTTACTTATTCAATATAACGACTCTAGAATTCTTATTGATAAGAGAACTGGATGGTTTAAGGCTATTAGGAATGATATGTTCAGACACCAGCAATCTGATGCTTCCATGCAAGTCCAAGACATTGAAGCCATATGCATATTCGCCGTTTTTGAAATAGAGTTTTCAAATCTGAGTATTGAAAGCTATAGACCCCTCCCAACCTTTTTCTTTCGATACGCCTATGTTCCTCGAGAAGTCAGTGGGTTGGACCGACCCTTCGTGATGGGTTATTTTGAATTTTTTTTTTTTTCAGACAAATGTTGAGAGAATTGATTCCCGCTGATCTGGTGAAAGTTCAAAGCGCCAATGACTGGAAAAGACTAATAGTGGCGGCTTACAACCAAGATGCAGGAATGAGTCCGGAGGATGCGAAAATAGCTTTTTTGAAGGTAGTTTATCGCTGGCCCACTTTTGGATCGGCATTCTTCGAGGTTAAACAAACCACAGATCCTAATTATCCAGAAATGTTGCTTATTGCAATAAATAAACACGGTGTTAGTCTCATACACCCACAATCAAAGGTGAGTCAATCAATTGAGTGCATATTATATACAAGGTGTTTTTGAAATGAGTACATATAATCAGCACATCGATATGATACAGTCTAACGATTATTCCCATGATATCAGAATTTTCCTAATTCTTCTAATCAACAAGGAATTTCATCCCGAAAATCGAACAAAAACCGAGAAAAATATTAAGTACGCCACTTTGAAACAATTTTAATGAATGAAATCCGCGTGATTGTGCCTTCTGTACGAAAAATTTAACAGAGGTGACGTTAGGATTGCACGAAAAATTTAACAGAGGTGACGTTAGGATTGCTACAGTGTGAAACTCTGGATGGAAGAAGGGGTCTAACCTAAAATTTCATTTTGACCCCTATATCTTTTGTATTGGTACCACTCGATAGTATACGTCGAGCTTACTCAAGGCTTGAAATATTTGCACTTATTTCAATGCCACCCTGTATTTTCATTTCAGGGAACTTGTTGTCCACGATCAACTGCTGCCAAAAAAATACTGAAATGATTTAAACGAATCTATTAGACGAGTTATAATAAGATTTGGTGTATGTAAATGGTATAGCAGAGGAGAGTTTTCGCATATTTTTCCGATCACTTCCGCTTCCAACGGAAATGGCCCTGGTTTTGAATTTTCTGATAGATCACCTTGTATATTGATGCAAGAACTATTACAATATGGTCAATACGATACTACGATGACGATGAGGTTGAAAATATATATAATTCACCGTGGTAACTAGAACTGCTGGAATTTTTAAGAAAAAAATTGCCGACTGAGTAAAGCGGCTCTCACATCTTAAACAAAAATTCACCTTTCTTATTATAGGCATTTATAGGTATACTAACAAATTAAAAGTGGATACGCGCGACTAAGTAACAAATTGGTTGATATTTACGAATACATTTTTACGCGCAGATTTGATAGCTCTAATTATCCTATCTGGTAGTAGATACATTGTTGATTATTCTCGAATCTCTTATCATTAACATGCTTGACTTGTAATTATATATATTTTACCGAATCTTACATTATTGTTCATAATTTACATATCATTTTAATCTTTTCCCATAATTTTGTTTATATCCTGCTTTTTATTCAATTCATTGCCAGCTCATCAAGAAATTATGACAATATTATCATCATATAATGGGTAAATAATCAAGACAGTCATAGACCTAATTAAGGTTATTAAATTTATTTATTCATCCTATTTGATTGCATAAGTATTTAATGACTAAAGAGAGATAGAAAGGAAGTCATATAATTGATAAAAATATTCCCGATATTTTTTATATAACGACGACGAATAGGAATGTTATTGAATAAAATTAGGAAAATAGCTTTTGAAAATCAAACTTCAACTGTCAAAATAAGAGGCTATACTTGGTATTCTTTGAATATGTGATGAAATCTTGGAGTGAAATTGTTGGTTATAATTAGTTAGTTATTTATTATACAAGGGAAAAAGTATTAGATTTTAGCTCGAGATTGTGTTGTCTCCCGACGTGAAGCGTGTATTATACAGTATTTGTTTCTGTGACGAGAAAAACGACGATTTAATATTGACAATTTAATTAATGTATGTAAAATCCCACGAGCCGCGTTATTTTGTCATTATAACAGCGAAAACTGTTTGCCATAACTTTTCCAGCGACAATAACAGAGCCTAACTTTTTAAAGCATGATAACCAGCCATAAGCAAATGTTTGATGAATTTTAGTCGAAGTAAACTTGGCATTCATTATTAGAATTTGGTTGCCATTAGGTAAGACAACTCAAAAAACTGCCAGAAAAAATTACTCGTCCTATACGGACTCGGAATTTTTTCAGGGGCAGTTTTTTTCATCAAATTGTCAGGCAACAAAATTCTTATTGATACATGTCGATTTTACTTCGACAAAAAAACCTCTCGTGTAATTATGAGTGAAAAAATATTACAATGTATTTAACTGGTAGGCTGTTGTGTACTACTTATAGGGACAATTAGACCTGCGTTGCTAAGGAAGCCTTTTGAAGTAATCAAAAATGTCAATTTAATTCTGTGATTTGATTTAAAAATTGCGAACTTATAGTGGTTGTTTATTGGTTTAAGAAACCGCGTAGGTATTTAAGCAGATTTTTGGAAAGGGAGATCTGGCACAACAAAAAAAGCCATCAACAGGGTATACGAACTTTTATAAGAAAACAAAAACCTCCAGATTTTTCAATCTAAAACTTTCCTATATTTTTTGGTCATCAGAAAAATCAATGCTGGATCGAGGAAAGTAGAAGTGGAATATCCATCATATTTGATGAGGGCTCTAATATATTTTGATTTACCACCAAATCCCGCTACTGAATGTACCAATGTATATGATCAAAGGGGTTGTCAAGGCAGAAAGAAAAGAGGCTAGAGAAAATAATTAATAAATTTGAAAAAAAAGAAGGGGCTTTTGGTAAAAGAGAGAATCCTATTTCAAAGAATTCCGATTTGAAATTCAGCAAAAAATAAACATTTATCGATACCTATCAACACGAGAGAATATAGATGATCCCTCCGAACAACTAACCCTCTGATCGAAGGATGATCCTGATCCTCTACGTATACAAATACCTAAACATTGGAATAATAATTGTATATATTGGATCTTTCTTTTATCTCATTCAGACCAGGGAAGAGTCCCTCTTATCCTGATATCTATTATGGAATAAAATAAAAACGGTATTGAAGTTTGATGCGAACAGCCCTTCTGCCCCAAATAAGTTTCAGAAATACATTCTAAGAATTGGAAGAGATCGAACGGAAAAAATAAATATCAAAAACTTGAGAATAGTAAATTTGGTCATAATGTCGATATTTTTTCTAGTTTATGGACAATCTCGGTCTTTTGAACTTTGATTGATCACCTGGGTCATAATCAACTGCATTTCGAAGAAGCTGATTCTCATGAACCTCAGCTTTTTCGAAAGTCTTGATGTTTCGTTCTTTAATAATTGTATATCGAAGGTTGAGGTAGTTCAAATTTTTTGAAAATATCATCGAGAGCGTCAGTCAACTGGATCATTCGTGAAAATTAACTTTTAAAATCAATCTCAAATTGTGAAGGATTCTGGCCAGAATTTCTATTAATATATCATTCGAATTAAACCATACATTTTCATATGTCACGTCATTTGCGCATTGTCAGTCGTTGTAATCACGAAGTGTTCATTATATCGGGTGACACAGGAGACATGTAATAGCCTATAGTTTTCTTTATTTGGAAAGATAAAAATTTGAAATTCACAAGGGTTATATTATCTACAATGGCGCTTTCCTAAAACCCAATGACAATTTTTTTCAACCACCTGTTTTTGATAGGAAATAGACCCAAATTTTTTTTTCAAATGGCACCTTGTATATTACTGTAGCCTTTCTTATTCGCCTTAAAATTCTCTATTCAACCAGCCAATTAATGAACTGAATAGAGAATTTTGAGGCGAATAAGATAGGCTACAGGTGGTTGAAGAAAATTGTCATAGGGGTTCAAGGAAAGCGCCATCATTGATAATATGACCCTTGTGAATTTCAAATGTTTATCTCTTCAAATAAAAAAACTACAGGCTGTTACATGTTTCCTGTATCACCCGGTATGTTGTATTTTAAATGATATACCCTGAGATCGTTACAAACGTGAGGTCAAAGTTGGTAGAACTGATATATATAATTTGTAGGGCCTCTTCCTACGATATCTACTTCTCTGTTGATGTAAAAACTGTTCGTAAAATTCTACATTGAGAGTAAAAAACTGCTCAAGTATTATCATAACCTGAGTTTTTCTATTTGTTCACATAGAACACATAATTTTTTCAGAAAATTTTCGAAAAAACTGACCTAGCCTTCAGACCCACGATCATAGACCTCACGATCTATAGTAACGCCAACTGGTGAGACGGAAAATGATAGCCCTAATTGACTCGACCGTTAGCTATACAGGGTGTTTCAGACTTAAATGTACATACGATACTGGCAGATAGAGGACAATTTGACGGTTTCAAATCACCCCCATTGATATATTTACCGTATTTTATAACTGAGATACAGGACGTTATCTTGATTTTGGCAAAATCTTCATCTGGTCATAATTTTTGAACCACGTTGTATAATCTATTCATACTTGGTAGAAATATTTCACTTATATTACACATCAAAACTAAATAAAAATTGAGATCATAATCCAGGTCCGTCTTAAGGAAAAACAGAAAACTTGTTCATTTCAAAAACAACACTCTGTATGGCAGAATTTTGTCGATCTGTTTGGATATTTGGAAAGAGCAGGAAAAAATTATTGTAGTGACCTATTTATAACAAGAGCGCATCGAATTTGACAGATGGTTTATTATTATGTTTTGAAATATTCATCCCATTTCGAGCAATTTTTATTGAACTGTTCTTCAAAATCCAATTTTGATACAAAAAAATAATTGTCTTCAAAGTTGATCGTCATTTAAAACAAATTAGGTGAACTATTGATAGATTTACCGCAGCTCATGAATCAATAGTGAAGAATAAAACAAGCCCTCAAAAAATGCCAAAACCACAGACGTTATTCTGTCGAACGAACAGATCCATCTATTTCACCCCAATGATGTTAAACTTCGATGGACGTTATTATTTTGTGAAATATTTGGATTTTGAATTACGAGTTGAATAAAAATGACTCAAAATGGAGCCGAGTATATCAGAAAATAATAATAAAACATCTGTTACATCGGATGCGCGGTTGTAAAAAGTAGGTCACTTCATTCGTTTTTCCCTGCTCTTATGAAATATTGAAACAGATCAAAAAAAAATTGCCATACAGAGTGTTGTTTTTGATATAAAAGAAGTTTTCTGTTTTTTCTCAAGACCGACCTGGATTCTGATCCCGATTTTCATTTAGTTTTGATGGGTAATATAAGTGAAATAGTTCTACCAAGTATGGATAGATTATACAAAGTGGTTCAAAAGCTATGACCAGATGATGATTTTGCCAAAATCAAGATATCGTCCTGTATCTCAGTCATGAAAAACGGTGGACACATCAAAGGGGGGTGATTTGGAACCATCACAGTGTCCCCTATCTACAGGTATCGTATGTACATTTAAATCTGAAACACCCTGTATACCTAGGTACTTGATAGAAATCCAGTGGTTGTAAAAAAACTTCGATCTAATCATTGGTGAACTTTTTACAATCGAAATATACTTGTTTCTATTGCAGTAGCTAATTGACCTAGAAATCCTATCACAAAGTGATCTTGTTTTTATGGAATCGTCACGTTTGTCACGAATCGTTTCAATAGTAATATAGTGGAAGCATTACTAAAAAAAATGTTTCCGAAATTTACTCTAATTAAAAACATTTTGGAAACCATAACCTGAATATTATTTTTTGCAGGACATCTTAGTGACCCACCCATTCACAAGGATTTCTAATTGGTCGTCAGGAAACACGTATTTCCATATGACCATTGGAAATTTGGTCAGGGGATCAAAGTTGTTATGCGAGACTTCCTTAGGATATAAAATGGATGACTTGTTGACATCTTACATTTCATTGATGTTGACAAATATGAACAAGCAAAGAAGTGTAAGAATCAAGTAATTTATGTTTTGACGCACCTGAAACAAAGGAATCTCAATATTTTATATCGGATATAAAGTGCAAGATCTAACATTCCATCAAAACAATCAATAATGATCTGATTCTGATTTTTCATTTGTTCATTTATGAATTGTAATTCTTTATTTGAGATTAATTTATAAAATACTGAATATGATGATTCAAGTATGATTATTTATTCAATTTATATTATTTATATCGATTTTTATTTTATAGAAATAACCTGCTCATCAATTGAAACGTAACGATACATTATGTTGCTCTAATTGGAATATTCGTTAACTATACTAACTGCCGGAAGCGATTTCACTTTTCCTTTTAGTCCTCGAATGCTGATGATGGAAACATGTATTTTCTACCAAAAAGATGGATACCTTTCAAATTGAAAGTTTGTCATTCGGAAGTTGAGTTAGAACAAAATTATGTATTACGTTTACTTGTTGAGCAGTTCATTTCAAGCTACTATTTCTCTTACAAACGTTTTTTCAATCATTCAAGTATAATAGGAACGTGTTCAATGTAGGAGGAAAATTATGTACACAATTTGAATTGATATTTATGCCTGGAGAAAATGATTTCTAGTGATTGCAAGCAATAATATTATAATTAGAAATTCAATAAGGGGACAATGCCTTTTCTATCGTGCTCCTTTCAATTATTGAATATTATATGAATTAACAAGGGTAAATTTTCTTGTTCCTTCCCGATTGATGATAACTAAAATTTGCGGTAGTCAAGGTCATCATCTGACGTTGCGATGACATGAAAACTACTAACTAACCTAACTTTCAATCTAATCAAGGAGTTAGAAATGTTTTCCCGTAGTTTACATGTCATTGCAACGTCAGATGATGATTTTGACTACCGCGAATCAGGACAGCAGATAGTGACAGATTTAGGGTTGTGATTTTTGACAGTATGTCTCTCGATGAGAAGCATCTTCAGACTGGAGACATCTGGAAAGCTTTTCCCACTTTTGACGCGCTGGGTTGGGTTCACACTATTGAGAATTGAAAATGATCGAATACTCTTTGTTTATGATCAGGTTGTTTTCTTTTTAATATTTCAATATAAATACTGAGTATAAGAATGACTCTGCATATTTTCCAAGAAATTCAGAACACGGCCCTGTGTAGTGTACCAGTAACAAATATCAAACTACGATTGCAGGTTAACTATACAGTCCCATCTCATTTTACACTTTCTTATATCTCATCATATTTTTCATGGAAAATGAGCAATTATTCTGTAGCACTTCTGAAAGACAGCAGCATGTGTCAAAATGCATAGTTCAAAAATATGAACCCAGGAGAACGCTCTTCATGAGAAAAAGCATTATATGAAGCCCTCCAAAAGACATACTAGCTAAAATCACAACCTTAAAGGTAACTTCCAAATACGACGGCTTTTGATCATCATTTGCCGTTCTAGGTTCTAGTGAATCTAAGTTAGGTATTACAACTTTCTCAATTGCAGTTCATTGCCTTATTCGTGAATAAACGTATAATACGGAACAGAATATTTCAATGAATCATATTATTTTTTAAGAGAAGCCGTTATTTCACAATTCAAAACATCAACAATTATTCTCGATTTTATTCTCATGAATCTTTATCAAAACTTGAAATAGGTTTGTTATTGCAGTGAACAAACATTCCACAAATTCTTTTCGAACTCGAATCTACACAACTGTGTGCTTCCAATATTTTTGAACAATGTATCAAATGGTTTTAGTAGGTACTCAAGTGTATAAGTAGGTGTTTTAGTTCTCGGAGCTTTATTTATGTTGACATGTTTTTATTTATACAAATGTAAATATATATACATCACTTTGAAAATATAGGCATGGATACGATAATCTGATGTACTTATTTTTATATTGTGTGAGAATGTTTGTAAATAGGTGATTTGATGAATGTATAAGAATAAATTCTATATTTACATTATTTATTTTCATTTAACATACCCATTTAGTGACATTTTGCACAATTAAAATCATCCTACAACTGAACACTTACTATTGAAGATCTGAAATCATCGGGGAAGTAGATACTTACCGGACGGTTGCCGAAAACGTATTTTTTCAATCCGTTTATTAGAGGCTGGTATCCTTTATGGTGAAAAAATTAGAATTTTGATACAGAATGATTATTAAGGTGAGGTAAGGTCTTCAGGTATATACCGGGTGGCTACGGAAGTATTGCCTACGGAATACCTCAGTTATTGTATGAAGTAGGTTTGTGAAATTTGGAGCGTCGATATAATGACATAAGAGCTAGAATTTGAGCATATTGACATATCCAAGTTGACTTCCGGTCTGACCGGAAGTAACATCAACTTTCTTATTTCAAATGGAAACCCTTTTTTTTTTCTTTTCGCTTTATTCAGCATTCAATTCCCTTTCTAATGACATATCACAAGTTGGTATTTAACCAGAAACTAGATCAGAAAAAAATTATTATTGAAATTCACCGAGTAGGCCGTGGAAGCAAAATGAAAGCCAAAAATTGAAAAGTTGGCTATGGAAACCATACGTCACTTGATAACAGTTGCTACTACTGTGATATTTTATTTTCATTCGTCGGCGTTATAAAAAGCCGCCAAAAAATATATTGGAAAAATTGGGGAAAAAACAATACTCTGTAGGTCCATAACTTAAATAGGAACATGCAACTTTTTCTTGCCTGTACTATTCAGCATAACCATTGGTATGGTTTCCATAGCCAACTCTTCAATTTTTGGCTTTCATTTTGCTTCCACGGCCTACTCGGTGAATTTCAATAATAATTTTTTTCTGATCTAGTTTCTGGTTAGATACCAACTTGTGATATGTCATTAGAAAGGGAATTGAATGCTGAATAAAGCGAAAAGAAAAAAAATAGGGTTTCCATTTGAAATAAGAAAGTTGATGTTACTTCCGGTCAGACCGGAAGTTAACTTGGACATGTCAATATGCTCAAATTCTAGCTCTTATGTCATTATATCGACGCTCCAAATTTCACAAACCTACTTCATACAATAACTGAGATATTCCGTAGGCAATACTTCCGTAGCCACCCGGTATATTTTGGTGTTCTGAATAGCGTTTCAAATGTCCCCGAAGAAGCGAGGTAGGAGATACGCCACACATTTGGCTGCAATTTAAACGTCGTAAATCTTTCTTCGATAATGGTTTTCGCGATTTTCTCGATTCCCATTTATTTTACGACCAAAATATACAGGGTGATTCATGAGGACACTCACATAGCCAAATGGTGAATAGGGGAAATCAAGACGAGTTGACGTATATATATCAAAAATGTTTTTGACGATCCATAACGAAGATATGTTCATATTATGTGAAATTGCCATATAACTTTGATGGCCGATATTTCAGAAATGATTCATCGTAATTGCCTGAAATTTGCAAGCGATGTATATTTATTGAAACTCAAAGAAGTTCACTTTGTGATCACTTCTTTTTCTTCGAAAAATTTCATATGGCAAAATGCCATAAGAGCTGATTAATTTACTCGGCACACTTTGAAAAATATGGAAAAAGTTCGTTCCAATGAATTTTGAATTTCTACCTGGCTGATTACTCTCAACTTCCAACTGGGTTCATGTTAATTGATTTTTTGATAATTTGAAATGTTAGTTTTTACCGAAATTTTAGATAGATATGATTATCTTCATGACTTTGCTATATTTTATAAATTTGTTATGATGTAGGCCCTGTTTTTATTTTATGATGTGACGTCACATTTGTTGATAGGTGATCATTCTTGCACTCTAGATGCCACTTTATATTTCAAATGCTAAACAAGACGAAAATTGAAATGCTGCAATGTTTAAAACCATAGAATATTTCTATATCCAAGAATACGTAGCAGTAAAACTTTCAATTTTATTTCATTAGAAATATTGTAGAAATAGCAAATGCATCATATATTCATATATCACTTACAGAAGTGTATCAAGAACAGAAAATGAATCTAAATTTACGCGTGATGGCATTAATTTTATAAATCACCATATTAATGGCAATATGAAAATCCTCATCAGTTTGTCAGTTCAGATTATCAACAAACGTTACGTCACACGATTAAAAACAGGGCCTAATGAATATTTCATTAATATTTCAATTACAATTCATGAAACAAAGTCAAGAAAACAGAAAATAACTGTCAAATATTCAAAATACTGGGGGTCAAGTACACACTTACCCCCATTTTTTTTTGTACGTGCGCTAATGACTTCCTATCTATTTTTCTTCAACTGTTCAATCATTTTTGAGTATTTTTTGTTACTTGTAAAATTTCGATGAAATTATTTAATTCGAAAAGTACTGATTATTGTTTAATGCGGCTTACGGTAATCTCATAATGTTCACATACTCCAATTTATTTCGTCGAAATTGGAAGAGGGCGTAACTTTTTACGTACGAAAAGGTAAATATGGAAATACCGGGTGCTCAGAGGGTGGTCAGTGTGTATCTTTGGTATATCTCCCGCTCGTGCACATTTCAGAATCCTATCTCAACAATTTTGTAAGATACAGGGGTGCTTCCATTAGAAGTGAGATACACTGTATATATTTGAATTTTCATATTGAAACATAAAATGTTAAGAAGCAATTAAAATGGTAAACATTTTCTTTTTGAAATCTTAGATGCATTTGAAAATAAATATTATAGAGACCGAATTAGGTGTGTCTCATTTCTGATGGTGGATTCATAAACGAAACTAAATATTATGAATTAACAATTAAGAATTTGAAATTAAGAAGGAAAGAAGGTGTTTATAAACTAGAAATGTGGTAGTAGTGACAGTACATATTTTGTCACATGGATTCATTGCTTATAGTTAATTTATGTTAGTGTCTCATCTTTTTTTCCAAATTTGAAAATATATAACCTATATTTTTATTTGAATATATTCTGGCGCGATTTTTGAATCGTTTGTCAAATGTGTCAATTCATGAAAAAATCTGATGCGCATGAGCTCACTTTCCTAATTGTTAATTCTTAGTTATTAAGATGGAACTTTATAAACCTCTTATGACATTTAAGTGTATTCATCTTTCTTAGTTCTTGGTTGCTGATTTATTATTTTTAATATGACACCATGAATTCCTCTCCTGATGCTGATTTGAATGAATGTATCATAATTTACACCTAAAATAAACAGTTTAATAGTTATTTGAGTTTTTCTAGAAATAATGACAAATGCAAACGTATGCTTTTTTTCATATGAATCACAATTTCTAGTCATATAAAGTGATTGAATCGTGAATATTGAAGGTTGAACAATAAATCACTAACCGTAATCACATCTAGGCCTGAGAAAAAAATATATGCATGGTGTCCAATAATTGCTGGGACACAGAGCTACCATGTGTAATACAGGTCAAAATAAATTGATTGGACCTCATTTCATTAAATAAAAATTTACCGTTTGTCCGTGAGACGAGTTCAAAGTTTACATAGAAAAACACATTTTTGTACGCTGTTCAAAAATGCATGAAACAAATTGGATGAAATTTGACAAAAGTGCATTTTTGAGGATAACCCTCCTTTCAGTAATCAAAGAAACCCGAAAGAAATTGAAGAAGGGTTGAACCACCCTCACCCCCTGAAATTTTTTTAGAACATTCTTAGGGGTGGTAATAGAGGGTTCTCAATTTTTTTGAGCGAAATAACTGATTAATTTTATTCATTTTGTTACTCTTGTGAACTTTTCGTATTCCGCATAGTTCCGAAGATAAAAAATGTTTTCTTAAATTATGCTAACATATATTTCTAGTAAAAGTTTGATAAGATTGTAACACAAAATTAGTTGGCAGTGGAAACAAAGGAATTGACATTTTTATTCATGAAGGTGGGCGTCCTACTGAATATTAATTTTTGATGCTTAGAACGTAACAAGTTTAGTATCTGTGGTAAATTTTGTTGATTTATCTCAAACAGTTTCGAACTTTTCATCAAAAAACATTATTCAAACTCGTATTTTCAACACCCTATATCCCGAGTACAACACACTGTTTAATTTTTTGTATTACATACCGGACCACCCTGTATATCCCGAGGGAAAAAAAGTAATTTATGAAAAGTGACATTTTATAACCTGTCAACAGCGATGAAATTTAACACTTCTTTCTCGTCACGAAAAAAGTTACAATGTATAATGTATCAACAGCGATGAAATTTCAAACTTTTTTCCCGTCACAGCAAAATCATCATTATGGTGTTGTTTCCATTCTGGACTTCATTTGCGACCAACAAAAAACTAAAATTTTTCTGAAACTGTGGTTCATGAAGTTAGTGAGGAAGACAGTCATAATTAAAACTATGTAATTCAAAACCATATTTTGCGAGAACTGTGTTCAGTTACGTTTGTTAATTCGCATTAAAAAATATTTCAAACACTTTGCTCTCAGCTTAATTGAAATCAGTGCCACTGACACGCATGTTGGCCAATTCTTTCTTTCCCATGGATCTGTTATAAAGGTCTCAATCTTATCTCTGATTCTCAACTGTGGGAATCGGCGAACCTAATTAATATACAAAAGGGAAGTAATCATTAAAAAATAATACCATTGTTTTCTACAACTTCCCACATTTAAGTATAAATAACCATGTTTTCAAAGAGATTTAATATTTTCATTCAGTTGAGTCGTGGGAAATTCCTTGATGTATTTGTGAGAAAAAGGCCACTTCCTCATCTGAAGAGAAAAAAACTGGAAAGGCATCAGGTATACTAGTGCCTAAAACAGGTCAGAATATGAAGATTTTATGAGTCGCAGTTTTCTGGTTTGGGTAATGTGGAACTGAAAAACATGTTTGGTGTTGTCTTTATATTTCTATAAAAGTGTACCATAAATTACATTTTTATCAAAGAGTACATTCTATTTACAAATAATCTGCAAACTGGTAGTGTCATCTATTGATTCATTCATCTTGAGATTA